GACATGTGGGGAAGCAGCAGGAGGGCGGGGATGGGCGGGGCGGCGCTCGGGTTGGTAGCAGAGATGCACAGAGAAATTGACCGGTGATGACTAGAACTGGACGTTTTTACGCTCGGCTGATTGTGATTGGTGATCGGAAACTAAAGGTGCATTCACACCAGCTCTGTTTGGTCCACTTTAATCCACCTCTAGAAAGTCCGGTTCTTTTGGGGAGGAGGGACCCTGATGTAGTCGAAAAGACGAACTCTGGCCTGCTTATAAACCTCAGACTCAGTTCAATTGAATACATGCATGAACTCCAAATGGACCAGAGACCGCTCCAAAAGTAGGAAGTGGACTACTGCGCAGGGCATTCTGGGTAAATACAACCAAAACAAACCAGTGTGTCTAGTGAGAAACCGCTCAGACAAGAGGGAAACCCTACAACCACCAAAATCTGACCTACTTCATTTTTGTTGCTACAGAACAGGATATTTTTTTATTCAATTACTCAATTAACCATTAGAATAATCAACTGGTTACTCAGTTATTAAAATAATCATTTACAACAACTCTGGTGCCAAAACTTCGGAGTCTGCAACATTTGGAGAAGGAGGCGTCGCAAGGTCTGATCAACCAATGAGAGATGGGATTTGGATGATGTCACACTTTACACTCAAGAAGTAATTCTATTTTTTTTCATTAGAGAATCAAAATAAACAATCAGTATAGATACATTATTATCTTCTGAGTGGAGCTGGTTTTATGTTCAAGATTCAAATATATTTATTTTTTAACAAAGATCAGTTCAGTTAAACATCAAAGGAATTAAAATCTGATCGTAAAATATGTTATTTTGACAAGTGGCAGTGATTCTGCACAATAACCTGCACACACACCACCCACCCACCCACCCACACACACACACACACACACACACACACACACACACACACACACACACACACACACACACACAGTGACTGATGGGTTTGCTATTGACAGGGCCACTGAGATAATAAAGTGCTGTCCCCCTGGCAGCTCCATTAGCTACTGACAGTGACAAGATGAGGCTGCTGCAAGTTTGCACAAATATATAGACACACACCCAGACACGCACACACACACACACACACGCACACACACACAAACACACGCCCCCCCACACACGCGCTCATCCTGTTTCAGTGACAGGCCAGCCAGTTAGGGACATGGATCCCTCATCTTTCCTTTCACAGAGTCTATTTCTGTCTGTGTCTTTTCATCTGAACAAGTGTGTGAGTGCACCTCTGGCTATGATCATATTCCTGTTAGGAAAGTGTGTTATTAGTGTCACAGCGAAGGTGACAGGCCGGACCAGTCAACTTCCCCGGGTTCTGCTTGTTGAGCTTTTTATAAGCTGTGACAGAGAGCAGAGAAGCGTAGTGGGAAAGTCTTTCCACACTGTTGGAGGAAAATCCTCTGATGGATTTTTATAAACCAGTTTTGGGCTAAACTGGGGATAAGCAAAGAACCAGCGACGGCACTGGTTCTGGATCTGGAGCCTGGCTCCCGGGCAGCAAAAAAAACAACAAAAGAACAATCAAAATGTTTTGTTTTTGTGATTATGTTTCATTTTGATTTGCCTAAAATGAGACCGTAAAAGCCCTTTTGGCTAATTGAACGGAGTTAAATGACTGACAGCAGCTCAGCGTCTCCAACTGGTCGGATTGTTTCCTCCTGCTTTACATCTACATTTCTCCAGAACCAATTTTAAGATTTTCCTTTTTGAAGTTTGTTTCAATTTCAATTAAATTTATGAAGATCTTTTTTGACTTTTGTTAGCATTTAAAGTTTATACCAGAAATGTACGCACACTGTATAAAAAGTAAAAATGTTTTCTGATCATCTGACATATGATCAGAAAAAAAAACAGAAAAAAACAAACTTTCTACAGAAATCAAGCAGAAAACTCCTAACTGAAGTTCAAGCATTTCAAGGACTTAAAGCTCCAGTATAAAAAGGCCTGTCACAATAAACAATAAATCAAATCAATAAATCTCATGATCTATTAAATTGAGTTCAATCATTTCCATTTTAGTGATAAACCCATTTTTTCCTCTTTTCTCTCTTTCATCAATAAACTGGATGATAAAAGTTTTCAGTCTGGTGTTTTGATCTCAACTAAACCTTTTTAAGGAGAATTTGTTTTCCAGACTTCATAATTCATTGTATTTGTTTTTGAATTATTAAAATGCTTTCCAATGTAAAATGTTCACTACAGTTTAAAGTTTATTGATCTTTCAGAACGCGTTCTTGCATTAAATTAGTTGAAAATGGTTTCAAAACGACAATATTATCATGTATCGCAATATCTTCTGGGAGAATTTATCGGCCAGAAAACTTTGCTATCGGGACTTTGAGTAAAGAACTGGATCTGATTAATTAGACTCCTTAAAGGAAACACAACGATGATTTAGGTCACCTGAAACGATCAGGACAGTTTCATATCTACATATGAAAATACAATAATAAGAAAAAAAGAAACAGCCCACACAGAGTGAGATAAAATAAAAATATAGGCAGAATTTAGAGAAATAAAGAAAAAAACAGAAGAAGATGGACTTGAAAGGGGATAGAAAAAGTCTGATTTGGTGAAGGGGGGGATGACTGCAGCGGTCCCAGCGGTCCCTGCAGGGACCTGGGGGCAAGTCTCAGCCTTGTCATACTCTCCTCCTCCTCCACTTCCTCCTCCACTCTGCACACCATCTCCACCCCCACCGCCCCTGTTCTGCCCACGGAAAACGTCGATAGCAGGCTGCCGGTGCCGAGGTCTCTGGTGGACACTAGCTCATTCTCCCGGCATCGACAGGCCCGCCAAATCAATATTTAGTTCCCCACTAACAAGCTGCCTCGGGGTCTGAGCCAGAGAGAGAGGGAGGGAGGGAGAGGAGCGCGGGACAGAGGACGGCGGAGAGAGACAGAGCAGGGACTGAGAGCTGTCCAGCTAGAAGGGAAAAACATGGATTCAGAGTGTGTGTGTTAGTGTGTGTGTTAGTGTGTGTGTGTGGGAGGTGGAAAGGTCAGGAGAAGATCTGGGGAACAAGAGAACAGTGTCTGCTGTGTGTCGTGGTGCGGAGGCGACGCATGAGTGCCTGCAGCAGCTGCTGACATGAACACACACACACACACACACACTCCTCGACGCTCTCAATCATATGCGTATCACAGTGAGCAGACGTTGACAGTGCTCAAGCAAAGCTCCAGCAGAGAGCACTCACAGATGAGTGGCTGTGAGCACACAAAGGCTCCAGCGGTGAGGATGCACTCGCCCGTCTTTGTTACATCTTTTGAATCATTGTTTTCGAGCCTGGAGCAGGATCACCGGGGTGGGATCTCAAATTCTGCTTCTATTTACTCGATTTGCGTGAACCTGCTGCCCTAATTTTTATTTTCTCTCCATTCAACACTGACAAAGCAGGATATTTAAAACCTGAACGTACATTTATAGAAATGCAAACATCTTCAGATAAAAGCTTTGAAACTCCTAAGAGTTGAAATTATTTGTGAAACAAAAGTCTTTAGGCAAAAGTCAATGTTTTAATAAACATTCAATCCAAACTTATAGATAATCCTGAGTCAGATATTAAGATGATAACTGACTCTGTCCAACAACATAACTACATGCGCAGTAAGTAGGAGAGACTGTAAGATACCGATCAGAAAAATTTGTCTTGGTCATTAGATCCTAGAAATATTATAACTTTGTATTGTTTCATAAAATCACTTAAGCATATTTTAATTATTAATGTGTTTATATGCATTTTTCCTACAGATGTTGTTTTTCTTATACTTAATCTAAGATGCGCTGCTTTTAGTTATGTATTAAAATCTGTCACAAATGAAAGCTTCTTTTGTTCTTCTGCATGTTAATTATATTTGTTTTTACTTTTTCCATCAATCTGCTACAGATGAAAATGACCCTCTTTGGCTAAATGTTAACATATTTACATGACGTATTCATTTTGATTAATATGCACTGTCCTGTTAATCAAATAGATTAAATTCACAATTAAAGTAATCATAAAACAATTTGCACACAAAACAAAAAAATTAACAGCAGCAACAATCAGAAGAAAAAAAGGCTAAAAATCCTACATCATATTAAATGTGTTTCTTTCCCAAGAGAGTACCGCTGGGTGTCCATACCGTCCCACCAGGGATTTCATGTCCACTCATAGATTTCCAGTAAACAGATCAAGACCAGCTCTGTCCTAATTTTCCTGTGAAACCCGCAGGAGGTCCTCGCATTGATCAGAACATTTTAGCTACGCTGTAGAGAATATAATCCCAAGGATCCGCTCACTTCTCATTATGAGTTTCAGTCTCATTTAATAAACTGAGGAGGATTATTTTCTCAGCTCTGCAATCCAGAAGTGGAATATTGGACCTTCTTCATCTTTCAAAACTCTCATCATCATCATCATCTGATAGTCAGCTCAGGTTTCTGCAGGGATTTGGTTTTAACAACCAATTCTATTTATTTTAAAAAGAAAATTACACTTTTAAAAACAAACAGCCATTTTTGATTGAAAGGCCAATCAGAAACAAACCATCACTCCAAAACAAACCAAAAATAATAAAAAATGTCAATTTGCAGTCACTCAAACACAAATACTAAAATCTTTGGACATGCACCCTGTGGTCTCAAGCTAAAATGTTCGGCTGTAATGATCATCATACATATTGATGTACGAGGGTGGCAGCATCATGATGCGAGGATGGTTTGCTGCAGGAGGGACTGGAGCACTTTATAAAATACTGGTGTTATGAGGACGATTTCTTATTTAATGGAAACTACAATTGCAAAATTGTGTTTTTTCAACATTAGTGGAATATCAAAGTTTGGAACATTTCTAGTGAAAATGTAGCTACTGAAAACAAATACTGAAGTCAACATCCGGTTCCAACTCTGTTCACGATGAAGATGTGTTTAACGCAGTGGAATAGGTAACTATTTTTGCTGGATGTGCGAGACTGACCTTCTGCTGGAGGATGAAGTTCAGGTGGTCCAACCAGTCCTGGTCTCTGGAAGTCTCTGTGCAGCTGGCCAACATCTGGAAGTACAACAGCATTTTTACTGACAGGACACAGAACAATGTACATTTTGCAGTTATACTAAAGGCCTTGAGGTGAAAGAAGGTATGAAGGGGGCTGTTCAATGACGCAAATTACCACAGAATCTTACATCAACCTATTAGGGTTTTATGTCTACAGGCAGAACTGTAGCTTCACTCAACAGAGGACCTTGAGGCAATGCATCTGCATACTGTGCAAATTTAAACAAAGCTCTCCTTGTTACGGCCAATAAACAGCGTGAAAAGTAACTGCACACATGCACAACTTAGCATTAATGCAGATACTTCAAACCTCCGGTGTTGCTGCTGAAGATGTTGTGGCAACTATTTTAAATTTTAAGGTCTGAAATGACTGAACAGTCGCTGCAAAACACAGATCACTAAATGGCAATTCATACAAAACGATACAAACTTTTTCCCTACATAAACTGACCAGCTTACAAGAGTCAGCTGAAAAACAGTCGCGAAAGGAATCCGCAACCAATTGTATCAAGAAAATCTGAGAAACATTTCGGATGCAAAAACAACTGAAAAACTATTGTAAACTGTTTAGTTTTAAGCAACATAAATTAAATAGTCACACTGACGTCGCCATGTTTACGCTGTAACGTTCGGCCCCTCCAATTTCAATCAGAGAGCTTCAACAAGCAGAAATGATGAAGAGAAATGAAACGGATGGTGAACAAACTGCAGAAGAGGAGAAAGTTGGACAAAAAGCTGCTGGTTGTGCTGCTGCTGGTTGTGCTGCTGCTGCTTGGCCAATCCGACAATATGCTGTAAAGAGTTCCAGGTTCTAAAACAAACAGTTTACTTTTAGCATCAGGATCAAAACATTCACAAATATATGAGAATAGTTTGTTTCACTATGACTTTAAACATTGTATTCCAATCTGTTTTGATTTTGCGTTAGCTCCTCCTGGCCGTGTTAGCTCCAGCTAATGTCAGGATCTCAAGCCAATCAGGTTGGTTTGTGTCAACAGATCTTTTGTGAATAACCACATATGAAAACGTGGGAGTTTGTTTGCGAGGTCTTGTGTTTTGTTGACAGGCTTGAGTTCACGATAACCTGGTCTCGTCTTCGCCACCGCATGGATTGTGTGAGTGAAAAAAATCTGTTGGCGAAAAATGTAAGAACCATAATTTTTTATTTTTGTAGCAATTGTGAGTAAATGTTAGGTTGATGGAATAGGGAAACTGAAATATATTTAGGCCAACATGCTCAACTGGTTGAGTCAGGAAATCCTTCCATCGGTTTACAAAGCCCAACTCTGAGTCTCTAACTGGACTAGACTCGTTTATAAAACATATATTTTCATAGACATACCTTTTTATTTTATTATATTTACATATGTCATATTCAAACTATTCATAATTTGACTATTTACATTTTTATAGCACTTATGCTTATATTTTGTAATATTTAAACTTTTTTGATGGGAGTAACTGTCAACAAATAAGCAATTTCCTGTTGGGGATCACTGCAGTGTTTCTGATATCATTTCACCTCCTTGGTTTAGGACTGTCTCTGTCTGTCTGCAGCATTATTCTAAAGCCAGCATTTCTGAAACTTGGTAGCAAGTTGGGAGAAAGAAAAAGGAAGAACCCATAAAACTTAGATGATTACAATCTTTCAAAAATGCCTAATGGGACATTTCCCTTGGCTCCGGACTGAGCTCTACCAGTTTCCTCCTGGTGCATAATCTATGGCCGCTGTATTTACTTTATCAAACAGCTGCATAACTCCACTAATACAGCTGACTTCACAGGGTTTGGACACAGAAGCTCTGAGGGTTTTCCTTTTGGACCTGGCAGTGAGACATTTTCACCTGCATGTTTATTGCTCGAGACATCTGCCACTGAACAGAGAGTCCTTGGATCAGGGTTATTTTCACATAACCATACTGGAACCTGGAGAGGTTTAGATGCTTTTTGTTGCAGCTTGTTTACCTTTTCAGATCATAAAACCAAACTAGAACAAGAAAACGCATAACCTTAAATTTACTTGACTAAATTTCTTTCGACATGATAGAAAAGTGATGCACTAAAAACAAAAACTAAGACAAAGCAGATTGCTTGTGGCTGAAAAAAAACTCAGTAAGTGTGCGTCCACCCTTGGTAGATATATAACAAATAACTGACCCTTCATCTAACATTAGGGTGTAGAAACAAACTGGTCTGGCAATTAGAGTCTTATTACATCTGGATCATTAACTCCACAAGTCACCCAGGGAGCCTGGAGCAGCTCAGGTCTGTGCTGCGTTTCACACCACGGAACGAACGGAGGCAAAAAAACAAAACAAAAAAACCAGGAGAGCCGCATGATGCAAGAGTTCAAGTATGAGGGGAGCAGGTGTTTTTCAGCAGACCTCGTTCGCTGCATGCATGCAGCTTCGTCCCATTAATACTTCCGTTTATAGAGGCGGCTTTAGTGTCATCAGCTGACAAGTTGAACTCTTTAGGGAATAATCTGATGACCAACTTTTAACTTCTACACTGAACCAACATGCCAACACTAAAAACAACACAGATGCACACAGATGTGCTTATAAAACTTAACTTATGCCTAAACAAAAAACATAAAACATCACTTTCTATTGAGGATTCAGCACAACAAAATAAAAAGAACTGACAGAATAATAACTTTGTTCCCTTTGTTCTATACAGTAAAACAATTAAACTACAAGCTGATCAGAATCAAGGCTGATAATTTAAATGTAAAAAAGTCTGTTATCAGATTTTAGACATGAGACTCTTCTGGAAACTGATTAAAGCGAATCTATTCTCACCAAATTCAGACACCAGCAAACGATAAATAATTAACACGAGCTTATAAATATGACACAAATATTAAGCCAGTATGTGCAATTTTGACCCTGAGGGGTTTAGAAAAAAAATTATGCTTCATTTAAGCCTATGAACCAAATTCTTACTTTTAAAAATTATTATTTCATTATTATTTAACCAGGAAGTTGAAATAATTCTCCTTAAAAAATGTGAAGCAACACAAATCAGAATTACACAAATTAATGAAATAATTCATAATTAATAAAAAAAATAACACAAACCTGCAAAGTAAAAAAAATGACATTCCTCCTTCACTGCGTTTTACAAAACTCTTAAAAGCACAGTAAAAACACTTTTCTTTGTACAATGAAAAGACTAGAACTAGCCTTGCAAAGACAATATGCAATAAACATCTATTTTCTTGTCTCTTTCTCTTTTCTGCTTCTTTTCTGTGACCCGCAGCATTTTGAGATATTATTATCTGCTTTTTAGACTTGGTCTAACTGCACTTAACAAAACTTTGTCTTGCTGAAAAGTTACTTGCATGTTTGTTTTTCTCTTATTTCTAGTGGACTGAGATATTTGCATGAGAAACCAAAATCACTTGGTACCATTGTGTTTTTGCAGTGTTAGCATGAAAAATGCAAGCTCATAGCACATGGAATATATTATTCCACTCCAAACATGCTATACATACGCAGATATATTCGCGACACAAAGAGCAACCCGACTGATGAGCGTATGTAAACTTCTGACCAGAACTGTAAGCGGGTGATGAGAGAAACTTACTCTCAACCTGTTCTCTGTCATACAGGGGTGGAGCCGCTGGGCAACGGCTTCAAATTGGTTTCAAGTGTGAGTGAGTGCCTGGTGAGCTCCTTCTAATCTAGTGATAGATGAGGGGAAGTCCCCAGAGATCCCAGGCTGATTGTAACACGGCTGTTAATTGATGACTTTGTTGTGAATGATCTATGGTGGAGAAAGGGCCTCACCAAGTTGGAAAACAGTTGGAAACACTTCTGCAAGCGTCCGGCAGTCAATAACGGGAGCTTCAGCTCGGTGACGGCTTTGATGCCGGCAACAGAGCTGCACTTTGTGAAAACTTGGAATGAGTTTCCAGATTGAAATCAAACAGCTGCTTTCTCCACGTTACCTGAACTCATGACCTCATCGGTGCGTTTTACACATCAACAAAACTCAAACAAAAGCAGACATTACTGAAAGGCACTACTGACAAATCACTACTAGAAGAGCTTCAATGTTCAGTCTTTGCAAAACATCCTTAAAAAAGAAAAGATACTGTTGGAATTAGTAGGACATACTGGAAAAAAGAATAAGAAAGACATGAAATGGTGGAACAAAAAGCATCAATGTTGTTGCAGTTCCTCTGTTTTTCTGACAGCTTCAACACCAGGAAGACTTCAACAATAAAAAAAACTATTTCTTCATCAACCCGTTTCCAGCGTCTTCGTACTTCGGCTGACAGGATCCAGGATTCAGGCTCGTCACTCACTTTTGGTTTACAAAAATTCCACCTCAAATTTCCAGCCAGATTGAAATTCGGAGTGTTTGCAGGACGTCTCGCTGAGTTTACCTGCCTGTTTTGAAGAGAAAGTTTGAACCCCATTTGCTGAGTCAGGTGTATTAATGTCCATCATCAGCAAACGTAGTTTGGACTGGTGGATCGAGAAAATGTCCGCCGACGTGTTTCTTGTACACACCTGTCCAGTCGTTAAATATTTAATTGGAATTGTACCAAACACAAAGTTGTTTCATTGAAAAATAAAATATTTATTGATAAATGATTATTAAACACATTTCAAGAACTTAAATGAAATCTTGTTACATTCTGACTCAGTTGAACTAAGGCCTGTAGTTGAAGACGTTGCCGTTCATTTGAATATTTTCTTCTAATTATCATAATAATCATGTCTGTTGCTTGGTTCTTTTTTCCCTTTTCTTCTCATTCTCAATTATATTTCCCTCCAAAGTAACAATTTTTAGTAGGTCAAATTGGTGTTTAAATCCACTAAGCCTGAGTTTGTGTTGTTCTTAGATCACTGATAGAAAGGCAGCAGCTTTAACCACAGAGGGATCCGAACTGTGACATTTCTGGAGACTTTTTGGCCTCTTGGCAGCAGCTTTGTGCTTCTCATGCTGCATATGTCTCTCTATGGCCTTAACCCCCACAGTGCCCAGCTTTTTCAAATGAATGGGTTTGGCAACAACAATCGTATGAGTTGGCAAAAGAAGTGAGCCAATGGCAAAGATAAATCTCCACTTACCCATGATAGACGCAAAAAGTTAAATAAAGTTACAGAATGCAGTGAAGTGTCCAACTCCAACTAAAACTTCTGACTGACAAAAATAAATATTTAAGCCCTGTGATTATCGTATTTATGGACATTTTAAGGCCTCAATTTTAGATACATAAATTAAAGATCTTTTAAGGATGTGATACCACCAGCCCTGTTACACGCTTTAGGTTGTTTTACAAGGTCATCAACCTGATGAGTTGCATCATTTCTGTGACATAAGAAACAAAGTATCTCACTGAACATCCTCAGAGTCGTGAGTCCACATTGTTTTTAAGTGTTGGCATTTCTCACTTTTCACCCTTGAAGTCTTGAGTTAATTTGGAGTTTCCTGAGGTCACGGCACACCTTCACATCGACGTTGATGGTACGGTATTTTTTCAGGTTGTAGGTGCAAACGCCAATCAAAAACTTTCAAAATTTTATAGCAGGAAACTGTCATGTGTGAAGAGTTCTGTAGGTTTTTCTAAACAAGATATAGGAAGAATAAAAATGCTGTCCTTTGGCCTTACCTGATCCGTTCCCATTATATCTGCCAGATCATTCTCTGACATATTGAGGATGGAGGCAGCGATGGACTTGGCTTTGATCATGGACTTGGCGGAGAGGCTGCTCTTGTCCGCCACAGAGCTGGCCTGCCTCTGCCTCCTCCTGCTCATCAGCTGCTGTTTGACCTCTTGAACGTCTAAAAGTATTTCACTGGCCAGGGTCTGAGAAGGGAGGAGAAGAAGAGGAAGAAAGAGGGAGGAGAAGAGGATGATGAAATGGATGTAGAAAAACAAGAGGGATAGCGCTGCCCGGCAGATGAATAAATGAAATTGATCAAGCATGCGCCAGAGAGGCCTAGTACATTATGGAGGAATATTGAGTTTGACAAAGTCAGATTCTCCTCGGTTTTGCCTCACACTACCCTGCAGGAGTGTGGACCTCAGGGTTTGTTGCCCCGTTGATTGAAAGCTGAGGGAACACGGCTTTGATATTAAACACACCCCAAGTTTCTCAGAAATCTCCACAGGCAGAGAATCACGCTTTGGAGAGGGAGAAAGATGGAGCGCTATGAAAATACAGCCATTCTTTTATTTATTTGCTTTCTGAAACGTCTTACAGTACAACAGGGCAGCATAACAGTGTTAATAATTAAGCTAAAGAGGGGCTGTCTCAAATGGTGCCTGAGTGGGCGGCGAGCGAGACGAGGAAGGCCTGGGGTGGCACGGCTGTCAGGCACTAAATGGGAGTACGCTCTAAATACAGAGACAATTAAATGTTAAAACTGCCACTGTACACTAGGAAGTCAATAAAGTAAACTCCCCTTTGCTTCATTTTGAGCTTATTGATCGAGGCAATAATCTTCTGCATCATTCCCTGACCTTGGGTGGATTGTCAGGTGAGAGAAAGCTAGAGACAACAGAACTCACAGAGAAAGAAAAGCACCGGCAACAACTTGTTCTGCAACAGGAAACGATATAAAGAGAGAAGCTGGTTTACGCTGTTGATACAAACACAAAGTCCAGCCGAGGGACCCGAGCTAAAAAGCTGGTCTCACATGCACTACATAACTCAAATCTTTTGAATTTCACACACATGTACCAGATGTGGTTTGCATCACAAGACAGAACAAAAACAGCATCTCCCATATTGTTTGAAAATACAGAAAAAGGCAGTTTATGTATAATTTCAGACCACAAATCTTGTACAAACTGTTATAGGTGAACAACTTGGTAGAAAAAACAAAATACGCTGCAATCGCTTCAATTTGACTAGCAGTCAGATTTAACTTCATATAATTTTTACACCAAGTAAAAATAATACCTGTGTTTTTTTCACACCTGACACTCCAGTAGATTCACTGTGACTAGAAATTAAAATTGCAACATTTGTTACATTTTCAGCAGATGCAATTCACTTTCAACCTGCACTGCTAAACAAACCCGTCGAGCAAGACTTTCACTTTTCTTTTGGTTTTATTTACCCAGCATGCCCTGCACTGTAGTCCACTTCCTGCTTTTGGAGCGGGCTCTGGTTGTCTTGGCGTTCACATTTGCATTTGAATCGCACCAGAGTTCACTTCAAACAAAACGACATCTAGATTTGTATGCGGACCAAAATTAGTAGTTCTTGTATGGAGACATCCTTAGACATTATTCGCTGCAGCCCTGATGATCATTTTAAGTTTTCCTTACCATCAGCAAGCTCCTGTTTTTGATATCTTCAGTTGAGATTTGCAGGCACTACATGGGACATTGATTTTAGATGCATTGTTTCGTGCGTGTCCTGTGAAACAATCATGTTTCTACCACAGCTTAACACTGTTCCTATCAGGAGCGGCCATATTGAATCCAGAACTTGTGACTGGGTTCAGTTGGAGTTGGTCCTGCTTCAGTAGCGTTCCAGTTGATCTTTCTGGCCGGGAAGTCGGAATTTTCCAACTCAAAGTTCAACTGGAACGCAGCATTAGTTCATACTATCTGAAAGCCATCTCCAGTCTTTTGAGGCCTCTGGATGCTATTACTTTAGCTAGTGCAGCCTAATATCTATTGAAGCATTTCCTCTACATCTTTGGCTAAATTAAAAGCATCTGCACATTTTTGACCAAACATAAACCCCACAAATAATAACACATACTCTTAAGGTTACTGGACAGATTGGAAAAATAAAGAATGATGACAGAATGCAGCTGTAAAACATTTTAGTTTTGGTCAACAGAAAACATAGGAGCTGTATGTTACAGGAAACACAAATTGCACAGCAGATATAACTGGAAACAGTAAGAGCACATTCTGTGTTTGAAAGACTGTAACTGCAGCCTACCTTGACTTGAACTTTTCCAGCAGGCAGTAAAACTTTCCTAATTCAGTATGTGTCATGACAGAGAGGTTAAAAGCCCAGAAGCATAACGCATAATGTCTTTTTAAGTTACCGTCTTTGGGAACAGTGCAAATTCTCTACAAAACAATTGCTTCTCAAACATCCACTGTTCATGCAGTTTTATTTGACAAGTTGTATTAATATAAAAGTTCATCATGAATTTATGCAAGATGTTTCTGCATAATTTAGACAAAAACCAGGAAGGAAAGAACAGAAGAAGAGAGGCATGGACGGACGGATGGATCCTTGTTTCCTCTGACTAACAGTAAATAAACAACTGATATCAAAATGAGCTGAATGGATGTTTTAGTTTGACTGGGAGAGTCTGACTGGCCAGCTACTGGTGAAGCTGACCGAGCAGAAAACCAGTTAGTTTAACTGGTGAATCGCCGTTTGTTTCCCTTAAACAGTGCTACATTGAATTTATAAACACAAGGAGCCCAACTCATTAATTATTCAACATCCTGTTCAAAAAGTAATGCCTAAATATCCAACAAATGTAACCTGTTCTGCTCTACAGAAGCCTCCACAAGATCAAATTTAATTGGCTGCTAATCATTTCGATAGATAATAGATCAGTATTTCAACAGAAAACACAGCGCAGTGCAGAAACTGACCATAATAGTGTGTTTTTCAGCGTGGATAAAAAGTTGAAGCTTTCTTTGGAGGAGAATAATCTCAGCATGTGTATCTGTGTACTGTGGATTGGTCGCAATACTCAGGGCCACTGTTTAGCAGTTCAAGAGCAGTGCTTACAGCCTGGGGCGTGTGCAGGGGCCAAAAGGGTTTGCTGGCACACAATAGAAAAACACACACACACACACACACACACACACACACACACACACACACACACACACACACACACACACACACACACACACACACACACACACACACACACACACACAGAAAGAGAGAACAAAAAAATAAGCTCATAAAGACACTGAGATCTCTGCACACACAAACACACACGCAGCCCTCCGGTCCTGATCAATACATGACAAGAGTAAATCTCCTCCGGACGTCAGGCAGTCCAATCAAAGGGCTCGCTGTTCTTATAGGGGATCACAAGAGCCGGGGGGAGACAAACAATGATGTGAATCCTCAACAACAAGACGACGGCCTCGGCAGCTCGGGGTTATGGGAACGGAGGAGACGAGCATGACACGCATTTCTGTACAGTAGCGTGTCGTTTCCAGGCTCCATGTGGATCCGAGGTGTCCAAACATTTTGGGATAAAATCGTTATGATGAAAACACGAGGGGCCAACATTCCTAAAACAAACTTTTTGTGCCTTTTTTAAAATTTGTATTTACTCTGAAATCAAAATAGTCAGCCTTTTGCAGAAAACGGATCAGTAGAGCATGGTAGATAGAAAACATAAAAAGCGTCCAGTTTAAGGCAGATCCAGAGTTTGATTGTTTTCTGAGTTGCAGAATTTGCTTTTCAATAAAAGCAGGTCAATAATTCTGACTCTTGTTATTCTGAAATTACAACTGCAAAAACTTTGTTAGTAAAAAGGAATCTATCTTTTGCATCTAATATTATTTTAAGAAGATGTTATTTATCTTTATGTTATTTAAGTTCCATCTGCATCGACTAACTATGTTGGCCAGATTTGCTCAACTCAAAAGTTGGTCGAGGGGCCGCAAATGGCCCCCGCGCCGCACTTTGGACACCTCTGGAGCTTATTGACAAATGATTATTGTACATATATGAAAAACTATTTTACAATGTAAAGCTATTCACACACCTGGCAGGTTTAGATTTCAGATCCTCATCATTAGAAATTGGACAGCAAAACACATTAAATGTAATTTAATGTGCTTTTATTTTCGTTTTATTTGAAAATTGCATATAAAAAGGGCATTTTTGTTGTATTTTGATGGTTTGTCTTTGGTGATGAGCTCCTAGTCTATGACAATGGATGGTCTCCTTGCCATCACCCTAATCCTTTCCACAGATTCAAGAACAAACATGTTGGTAAAATTTGAAACTTAAATCCTCCAGGCTTACGAATACTTTTGGGCTCAACTACGATGTTTGACATCTTTGCATCATATTTGCTCAGTATTGAAGTTAATATTAGATTATTTGGATAAAACTCAGTAATTCCCTGCAGGAAGTTAAAAGTGCTTTCTGTCCATAATCTGTCTGCCACCTGGTGTATTTGTGAGCAGAAAACTTCCACCGTTGTTATCTATCTGTCAGCTATTTCTCTTTCGACAGACAGGTGTGAGCTGAACTCAGGTGATGGACAGTCTTTATCACTTTCAGGCAGATAGACACAAACACAACAGCGGGTGATGAATTGGGCCCAGAGAAGGAGAAGGGCAGCTGCTCCAGATTCTCAGATTTTCTCCACGGTGGTCTGTTTTAACCAGATACTCGCTGCAGAAAGACACAACCTTATATCTCACTGTCCAACACTTCTCTAAACATTTCCTGTTTTTGATCAGGTGGATCTATTAATAATATTTCTTTCTATTTGCTGGAACAATAAGGAAGCTGAGTGTCGCACACAGTCTCTCGGGGTTTGGTAAAATTAACATTTTCTGATATTCTTCCGTAAATTCACTCAATAAGATGTTGATTTACCATTTCTAGATAATGTTCTTTCCTCATGATGTTTTAAAGTGTATCAGTCACTCCCACAGCATGACGTTACCACCACCATACCTCACAGTTTGAGAAGTGTTCTCAGGTGTGCATGTATTCTGCAATATGTTATCTGTAATTTCTGGCTTCGTCCTCTGTGAGCGGCCTTTCGGGCTCATTGTGGATTATGACACTCTTACCAAACTCAGAAGGTATTTTGCTTCTAATTTGCACACTTCGCATCAAAGCACACTCTGACTCTAAAGGAAGTAATACGAGACTCTCTAAAAGAAATGCTCTCTCCCATTATTTAGCAAACAAAAGTAATTCTGGTAAACTGACCTAAAACACTAAACATTTAATGTGATTTAATGTTAATTAGAGAGAGAGAAAAAATGCTTTCATTTATCTGGTTGTAAATGGAAACAGATAATGTCATGAAGGTGTTAAAATTCAAGGTAAATACAGTAACACAGCTTTAAAATTAGATCTCAAAGCTTCCCAGTGGAGATCCAAATAAGTCTGAACAGCAGGGGGAGACGTATCATTACCGCTTCTTCCTGCTGGAATCACGAGATCACACAACTGTGCAAACTCTAGAGTCAGAATTTTGATTATTTGTGTCTGGATCAATCGATCTCCAGGCTTTATGAAGGTCTGAGTATTTTTCTTTGGACTGCGTCAACATTTTTAGTCCAATATCTGAAGATTTTTAGAGGAATGTTTTTTCTTTGCTGAGGCCAATAAGCCATCAGGTCTCAGTTAGCGCTGCACAGACAGAAAGCTCTTCAGTGTTACTTCGTTTGTGTCGAACAGATTAAACCTTTGCATAATCGCTTCTAAAACTTTCTGAAGCAGACAAGCGGCTCTCTGCTGTACCTTGATGAAGTAGTGAAGCTGCTCCACCTGCGAGCCCGCCTGGCCCAGCCGTCTCTGAAGCCGGTCCAGGGCCTGGGAGCTGTGCTGGGTCAACCCCTCCATTTGCTCGGAGGCGGTCTGCTCCAGGACGGCCAGGGCCTGCTCACCAGCCCCAACACGGGCCTGCAGGGCCTGGATCTGCTGCTCCTGAAAGAAGCAAAAATAATCCATCTACACAAAAATACCCTGATCATATTAGAGATAAAAATGTCAAATATCAGCAGAAAATCTCCATGTGAAGACCAACCAAACAAAACAATGATGTGCTTTAAATTTGTGTCTATTTCTATACTGTGCTTCAACAGAACAACTGAATTAAATGTAGAAAGCATCAGATATACAGATAATACCAGATGTTTACTTGATAAAAAGACACATTTTTATCTCATTCTGTAGTTAAATCAGATCAAACGTCTCTTGTTTTCAGTTAGTCGAAATTACCTAAATTATTTCTATTTGCTAACTGCCCAAAAACTTATTGAGAACATTTTTCAGAGATTTTCTTTTGTAACTTTCTTCAGATTCAGAAGTTCACATACATTTGTTCAGTATCAGGGATAAATATCTTTGCATCAGATCCTTTTGGGTTTCCTTAATCAAAGTTCCCAATAGTTTGATGGAGTTCTGGTCCGGTCCACCTGAACTGGATCAGGTTTGTGGGCTGCGTCACTCTCACACACCTTTTCAGATTTACCCACAACTTACCCAAAAGATTATTAAGAAGTTTCCAAAGACATGATATCATCATGGAGTAGTGATGGACTCTGACCTGAACCTTCAGAGCCACATAAAGACAGTTTCAAAGTCGGCCTTCTGCCACCTGAAGAACATCTCCAGGATCAGAGGACTAATGTCTGATCTAGAGAAACTCATCCATGCATTTATCTTTAGTTGCATTGATTACTTCACAGGTTTGCCCAACAAATCAATCAGCTGATTCAGAACGCTGCTGCTGGCGTTCTCACTAAAACCAGGAAGACAGAGCAATAACACCAGTTTTAAAGTCCCTCCACTGGCTCCCTGTAGCTCAGAGAATAGACTTCAGCCCCACAATACATTAAAGATCTGCTGTTGTTGTATCAATCTTCCAGACCTCTCAGGTCTTCTAGCTCTGGTTCTGCTCTGCATCCCCAGAACCAAACAAGGAGAAACAGCATTCAGCTTCTACGCACCACAGATTTGGAACAAACTTCCAGAAAACTGCAAAGCAGCCGAAACACAGAGTTCTTTTAAATCTTGACTAAAAACCCACCTGTTTAGAGTTGCTTTTAAAATGTGAACAATTATAAATTTAACGATGGTACTTGACTTAATATCATGTTTTGATTGTTGACACTATGTTGCATGGCTTTGTGTTTGTTATGATGTAAATCACTTTGAAATGCTTTGCTGCAGAAATGTGCTATACAAATCAAATTTGATTGATTTGATATGGGCTTTCCCTCCTTTCTATGGACATAGTCGTCATTCTATGTGTAAGTTTTGCAGCATGTAGCAAATAGAAATAATTTTGGCTATTCTGACGAAGAGAAGTTTGGTCTGATTTAACCTCAGACGGTGAGTCTTATTTTTCAGTGCACGTAATCTTCTAGTTAGTAGAGCAAGGACAATAACATCCAGATAATAAACAGAATTTGCTTGTTTTCCGCCCGGAACACAAAATAGCAGCTAATATATTCCAAACTGCCTCCCACTGAAAGCTGTGAACACTGATGAGCAACAAGCATCTGCTTTGGTGGTTTCTAACCTTTTTCTCCATGTCCTCTTTCAGTTTTGCACAGGACGCCTCATGCTGGCCTTTCTCTGTTGTTGCAACATTTAACCTCCTCTTCAGGGATTCAATCAGCGCCTTCCTGTTGGAGGCCTCGTCCGACAGCGTTTTTACCTGGACGGACAGAGGGAACAGTTAAATGTACACAATTTAATTTTATACAGTGTACTGTTCCCTGCAGAAGTATTCACACCCTCCAAAGTTTATGTTTTTATTATCTTAATTAGATTTTTTTTTTTTGCAAAGTTTAAATGTGAAGTGTGAGACACATTGGAAGTCAACCCTCTTTACTTTAATACCCCTAAATAAAATCCGCTGCAGCCAATTCCCTGCAGTTATTCATGTACCACTTTAGTAAATGCCAAATTTTCCAGCTTCCACCATCTTGGCAGCCATTTTAAAACAAAACTTGTTTTGTTCAGTTTGTGGTGCAACATCATAAATATAAAATAAATAAAAACCAGCATCTAGTCCACTGGTTCCAGTTTTACTCAAACATTCAAGTTTCTTCTCGTTCACTGGTGTTTTTGCCTGTTGCACGTAAACAAGTTCCACAAAAGCTTGAACACCAGATTTTGAGAACCACTGCTTAGAATCAAAACACATCCGTGCGTTTCAATGTCTCAGAAAACATCTAGATTTTGATCCAAGGAAGAATTTGAAGCAAGGCTTTGAAATAGCTTCTTTTCAGACTTTCTCTATCCAGTGTGATGGAGAATCAGCAAACATTTCAGTCCAAAGAGCTGCACGGCTGGCAGAGAAAACAAAAACCCTGCAGCTGTTTTTCTACTGAAAGGTTTGTCTACAATCTGTTGACTCAGTGCAACAGATTTCACTCTTTTTTATTATTTGTAGTAAAAGCAACAGCTGTAATGACATCTAATGATGGTTGTTTGCCTGTGTGTGTGTGTGTGTGTGTGTGTGTGTGTGTGTGTGTGTGTGTGTGTGTGTGTGTGTGTGTGTGTGTGTGTGTGTGTGTGTGTGTGTGTGTGTGTGTGTGTGTGTGTGTGTGTGTGTGTGTGTGTGTTGCCATGGTGACAGGTCCAGGATATCCATTAAAAACACTAAGAATAAAGTTAATTGAAAAACAAAATAAAAATAAGAGTCCTGGTTGTTACCTTGGCTCTGTGACACTAGTGATGCATTCACACCAGACCTGCACTCACTGTTATAGTGGCTCTAAATATGCAATCAGAAGGTTTTTGATGTGTTTTGTGAAAAGAGTTCAACCGTGATGAGACAGAGATGTTTGCCCACCTTCTTCTCCAGGTCTTCCACCTGAGCCCGGTAACTTCTCTCCATGTCCTGCAGGACCTTTAATCTGGTCTTCAGGTCCTCCACCAGCTGCCTTTTCATGGCCACATCTCGCTCAGCGTGCATCACCCTGAAAAAAGATGCAAAAACTTAACAGAAATAACAGAGAGCGACACACACACACCCAAACACACACGAGTAGAGCTGGCAGACGTGGCGTCCCAATGCGCTGCATCAGCCATGACAGCTCATTATGACAACTAAATACACTGGCATGCTGCTTGGGTAAGTGGAGGGGCGTAAAACGGGGATGCATGTATAATTCTAGCTGGCATATTTTATGACAAAATGCTCTGGCACCGAGCGCCGCTTTAAGTGTGACTGGGGAGTCCTTTTTGACAAATGGCGTCTCGAATCAGCCGCGACTGCAACATTAAACATTTTAATGCTTATCATTTTACAGCTCAGACACATAAATGCTTCAAAGGGAGGTTTTTTGCAGAGGAGGCTGCTTATAAGGGAGACTTCCTGTTTGTCTCAGAGGGATTTCCCAGGAGTCAAGGGGTATGAAATCCAAACAGACAATTTACCTTCGGGCCTGCTAAGTAAAACCCGCTTAGAGCCGCTAACATCACCTGACCTTTCAAAGTATGACATTTTAGAATTTTGAATGTAAAATCAACTTTTTGAGATTTACATCATGCTATGATGTTATTCCCTTCTAAAATACATTTATTGCCTGAATTTTTTTATGCATGCTTGTGAAATCCTTTAATCTTCGTGGTAAACATGCAGCTGTGCAAAACGCTTGGTTGGATCTAGCCCCGCCTTCAAGGCACAGCTCCTCCTCAAAGCTGCAGTTTCCAAGCTGTTGCCTCACAGAGCAATCCTCCCCCACTCAGCTCATTCAGACTAGCCAGCAGCAATTAGCAAACACCAGGTGGAGCTACTTTTAGTGCTGTTCTATTGTGGAAAATCAATACCATTATTCCATTAAAAACTTGATGATTCTTTATCATTTTAACCAAAGTTATTAAGACATGTTCTGAAAGGTCCAAAGAGCCATTTGTGGCTGTGGAGCCGCAAGTTGCAGAAAGACAAACAATCCCCTTTATGTTGTAAACTGTTTACGCCTGAACTGTAGCAATCATGCAGCGCGTGTCACTTCCTGTCTCTCTTTACATGCTTAATATTCTTGATTTCTTCTTTTAAGTGGTCTGAGTGTGTTAGCATGTTTTATTCTGTTTTCATAAAAGGCAGATATAAGACATTTTCATGGTTGTCTAAACCTCAGGGAGCTGGAACAAATAGAATAAAGATCATAAGGATGCAGTTAATTAAGTGGATTTTTTTAATTTCAAAGATGTAGTGGCTTCTCTTCTCTCTCTCACACACACACACTCAGAGTGTTGCGTGTGTTTTAAATAAACAGATGACTCAACGATCCGGCAAATGCCTCCATGTGAGCAAATGTCCCCATTTCTCTAGGAGGGTGGGCTGGTTAAATAAGTGAGAGCTTGTCCTATTGGAGTGACATTAAATTAAATGAGAGCCGAGTCTAGCCTGGGGACTTCGGGGGGGGAGCAGCGCTGGCTGGTTACCCCATGGGTTTGGCCATTAATGAGAAAACCCATATTGAACCTTTCAGATGACTGTCTGCTGTTGACTTAAAGACGGAGAGCAGCAATAAGCGCCCCGGCAGCTCCCCCTGCCCCGCTGCTAATGGCAATTAGACCCACAACATTTATTCTGGATGTTCTTTTTTCTCTCCCACACCCCAAAAAGAATAGAGGATAAAAAAGAATGAGCGATATGCGGAACTTCTGCCGGATCGTATGATCTCTATTTATGAGCGTTAGTGGGAGCGAGAAGACGAGAAGCCTCCGACTGCATCGCGATCATTCACACGTTTGTTCCCTTTGTTCTGCGCTTGTTGCTGATATTGTTCATCAAACATGCGTGTATTGTAATAACAACAGTCAGCGGTGTGCGGAGCGTTGGCGAGGAGCGAGAGAGCACTTTTCTGTGTATGTTGTTAGGAGTGAAGACAGGGTGGATGTTTCATGTGGCTGATAGACAACAGGGCTAAAGATGAAAGCAGCAGCTTCATAAATAAGGCAGGGCCATAGTGCCGGATATTGACTGAGGACATGCCGGTGTACTTTGAAATTCATTTCTTTTTTTTTTTACCCCCCTCTTCTTCTCTTCTTTAAGGCGAAGCAGCCTTGCTCCCCGTGCGTGTGCTGAGATGTATATTTCAGAGACGTCTAGACATGCCTTTCATTCTGAGAAAGAGTCCCTCCACGGAGGAGCGGCAGGCCGAAACTTACATCCAGAGTTGCGGTTGAGCGACAAAAAGATGAAGGAGAGGCAAAGGATGTCGCGAGAAAACGGAGCTGTGATCCTTTGTGCGTTGGTCGCACACAAACGCGTCTGCGCCCGGCTCTGATCACCAGCACAACCTGGATGTATTATTGAGAATGTCAGGCAGAGGACAGAGCACAGCGGACAAACACAACCGGAGGAAAGCCAAGTAGTTCTTTCTGAAAGTGCAAATGCAAGACGTGCGTCAGATCTCAACAGCGAATCGTCTTCAGCGACGCATGCGGACTAGTAATGCAGTAAAAGCTGAACTGAGTGGCGCAACAGGGGCTGCTGCCATGTGGCAGATCCTCTCTGTTTCCCTAAACACCGCAAAGGTAGCAAAATCCATTTATTGAACACAATCGATTAGATTGGCAGCTGACTGAATTCATTTACGTCGCTGCAGGAGCGAAGGCCGGAACTAACAAACTCCAAACAACAACATGGCGGCCAACGCAGTGGACAGGATGGCCTGGTCTGCAATCAAACTGCAAAAACACAAAATCTGACCAAGTATTTTTGGTCTAATTTCTAATGCAAATATATTAGTACACTTTAAATAAGATAAAACTAACTTAAAAGTAACTTGTTTGATGTCATTTGTTTTTTTATAGTTTTGAAAAGTCTTATTGTTAGTGGCACTTTATGATTTCACTTGTAATGAGACATTTTTCCCCTGCTGCAGGTGAAATAGTGTTCCAGTGGAAGCGGTTTTTAATGCACAGAGGAAATGCATCAGTTGTTTCAGCAGAATGATCGTGATTTCTCAGACCTGCAAGTATGCAGGAATTTGACTGGCAAAAGGCAAGGCCGAAATGTGCAGAAAATATTTATTCAGGCCTAATAACTCATAAATTAACAGTTGTACATGCCGTGTCTTTGTTTGTAAATGCTGAAATAAATGTACTTTCACAACAAGTGTTAGATGTTTCTTAATGGGTAGAGAAAGTTGTTTGAATTGGCTATTTATCAATCCTGAAGCCAGTTGCTAGTCAGGTTGAGTGGATCAGTTACATTTACTAGAATAATCTATTGGAAAAAATGTACTTTTTACTTTTAATGAGTAACTTTCTTATGACATATCGCTGCTCTTACTTGAGTAAAGTTTTTGAATTCTCTACTCTGAGTAAATTCACTGAATGAAGAACAAACTTGTTTAGAAAAAAATCCCCAGACACAAACCTGCAGTTTCTTTTAATGTTTCATGGGTTCAATATTTTAAAACTGATTTAGGAAAATGTTTTCTTTGCATAGTTTTGTTGCGTTATTTGTATAAAGTATTTTGAGTGAAATATTTCATATTCGTATTTAGATATTTTAAATCCCAAAATTTTCACACAACTTTACATTCAAGTATTTTAAAAATGTCAAATGATTGATGTTTCGTACTTCGGTAGCTGCTTTACCACATACTTTATTCTTACTTGAGTAATTTTTGGAACAATTACTTTTTAGTCTTAGTTGAGTAAAAACATGTTGAAGTCGTGCTACTCTTCCTTCAGTAAAATTATTAGATACTTTGCTTTTTCGCTCCACTTCACGACACAATGTGACATAAGTTTGTAGCTTTAATGCAACAAAACACAGAAAAATCTTAAGGGGTAAACTCTCTGTTATCTTTAGCTGCTTATATTAACGTCACACACTGTTTTCTTTGAGTTGCTGATGAAGCTGCAGCAGAGAGAGGCTCACCACATGGTGGAATCAAACACAGCAGATGAGAGCTGCACAGAATGCATTAAGACACACAGACAGAGGGATGGAGAGACAAAGAGGTGCAGAAAAAAAAAAAAGGTGCAGAGCAACAACAACAAACAGCCGGGATCACGAAGAGGACAAGCAGCACTAATTAAGACAAAGGTGTGTAACTAACTTGTCCTGCAGCTGGCTGAGCTTGTCGTCCTTCTCCTGGAGTTGTCCTCGCAGGGCTTTGTTAGCCGCCATCTGCTTTGTGACTTCAGCGTTCGAGCTCTGGGGAGAGGGCACACGGTACGAGCGTTTGTTAATGTGTTTCAGCCCGACTGATGGCGGGTCAAGCACAGCATGCCTTCTCATTATGGAAACAGTGGAAGGGAAGAAGGTGCTAAAAGAGGTTAAAGAGAATAATACATTTTATAAAGTGGAAAAAATAACCCACACCTACAATACTGATGAAAAAAAGGCACATGTAAAACATAAACATGTCTTGGTGTTACTGTTTTATAAGGAGTATTCAATATCACTGAAAGAGTAATTGGAATAATTTTGATAAATTGATTATTGAAATCAACTAATTTAGTGATTGATTAATCATTAAGTGGAATATAAAAAGGCCAATTTGCTGAAACAACAACACACTCATGAAGAAAAAGCCGTGCAAACATCGTACATTTTACATTTCAGAAAACTTTTGTTTGTAAATGTTTTACTCTGAACTTCTCAAGTGGCAGTTTTAGCTTCACTCCACTCAAAAAGCACAAAACAAATCTTTTTTTAGACATGTTTAGATATTCAATTATTAATCAGCTTCTCCTAAATCTTACCTCGCTGCATGTTAAAGTAATTTTTTAGCTGCAGATGCATGCTTTGTTGCAAATGAACAAGCGTTCACTAAAGGAATGCTGTTACGAAATTTTAGGCCATAAAACTACAGTTTAAAAAGGGGAATTTAATCATTTTAATGTATTTCTAATATTATATAAAAAGGTTTAAATAAAAAATCTGCATGATTGGTCAAATTTTTATCGATTAATCGTTGCAGCCCTAGTGTTAACCACTCGTGCCTGCAAAACAAAGGATGCAGCTTATAAAAATGATGAAGTCTTGGTTTGAAGGCCGCTGTCTGCGGGGAAATGCTCCACTGCAAGCTGTTGTTAAACATGCACCTCCGTCACCTCCCTCTCTGTTAAGGTGTCACCTGCCATGACTTCCTGAGACGTGTGCACCGACAGCAGCAATCTGCTCGGTGACACTGATGAGCGGGCTGCTGAGAGGGTGATAATGTCGCGTCACCGCTCGAACCTCCTTCCCCGCCTCTCACCCTCCATTTCTCATCTTTCTGACAGCTACTCTGAAATAAGATCAATTGGTATGAAATGCTAATTCATGTTGAAATCACATGCAATTTCAGGTGATGCAGTGTGTAAATTAAAAAGGCGGAAAATTTTGTGCTTTTTTTTCCTTCTTACTTGATCTGAAAAGTAAAACCTTGATAGAGTTTCTTGCAGAAGCTTCAAGGACTTTGAGGCTTTCAGTGAAATGTTAAAGTGCCTCAGAAATTGATATTTGATGAAATCTGAGAGACTTTTTTTCCTCAACTAAAAATGCATGTTTAATCCTGCACTGCTGGGCTGTGGAACAGTGCTGCAGCTAAAATGGCCACAAGAATAGTAAAGAAATACACATATTTTAACAAGAGATGTCATCGTTAACGCATGCGACTAATCTAATAATATAACACATTATTATGACATAATCCAGATGAATCACATGATCACTTTTGACCTAAAAGCCTCTCATGCAAAGGGTTAAGTACACAGAAGCAATTTGCACGATCATGTACAGAATTCAACAATGTAGAGTCACAAAGGCAAGTAAAAAGATGAGAGTCTGATATGCTAAGCAGAATTATTTCCCTTTAAATAACTGCCACAGTGGGAGCGGATGCCCCGTACACAGAGGTTATTCTCTCAGATGCAGCCGTCACAGGTTTGAGTCCCAGGTTTGGTTACTTAATTGATAAAGGAACAAATAAAGTCCATTAGTGCCAAAAATTCTCTGAAACAAAAATAACAACAAAAAAAAGCAAAACAAAACAAGAAACATTGCGATGAACGTTTGGAAAAAAACAAGGCAGCATGTCGCCTGCTTATTGCAACACTGAAACACAATCAGTTTTAATTAACATTTCTTGAACACATTTGAAATAAAATACCTTCTTTTAAACCTACCTGTATATTGTCATCTTCCTAAAATAACAGCCTAAGGAATTTTTAGCCAAAAGTGATTTTATTTACTTTTGTCTGAGTCCTTTCCTGGTGATAAAAAAGGGTAGATTTTTTTGTTGTTGTTGCTAAAATCACTAAAAAGTGACTTGGACTTTTATTTTAGGGAGATGACAATATGAAAATCTGGAAAACTGAGATGCTTAATTTGAGACAATCTTAAACATTTTTGACAAAGTATATTTATACATTTGAATGAAGGTAAGCGTAGTGGTTAATCTAGATAAATCCCAGTGGTAGATTGCGATTAATCTGACTGAACTATGTAATCAATTGACAGGACTCATTTTAACATTTGTCTAGAATCCAGATATCAATGCAGATTTCCTTTAAAATCACACAATCGGATTTGACATTTTTACACTTTATTCATTCATGCCCCACAGAGCAAAAAATTAGAAATGAACACATTATTTAATGCTATCATCCTATTAGGAGATTTATCCTAAGAGGCATGCACAGCAAGGTGGAGAATGAGGGGAGATGATTAACTCAATAAGCACTGACCTTAAGTTTGACTTGAAGCTGTTTGACCTCCGCCTCCAGGGACTGGAGGGCCGGTCCGGTTCTGCCCTGACAGGAACACTCACTGCTTGCTGGTGCGGTGGGTGGTGCTGCTGGTTGAGGTGCTGCTTTTGGGGGGAGAGTAATCCGCTTCCACTGCTCCAGCTCCATCTCCAAAACCTTTTTCTGCTGCTCCACACCAGCCAGGTCAGAGGTCAGCTTCTGCAGAGTTAGCCACAACAGGAAAGGTGAGCTAGTCATGCCGGTGACAAAACAAATAAAAGTTGAAGTTGGGCCTACTTGTAAAAAAAAAAGGTGGAAATATTTATTTCTGTTTTGGCGTGGAGGGAACTGAAGTGCGATAACGAGCTGCAACATATTGTTGATGATCCGACCAACAATAACAGACTGAGCTAATGAAGGAAACTGTATCCTATTACCTGCAGAGATGCTGTAGGGCGAGGGCATATACATTCACAGAACAGTGTGTGCAAACAGAACTATAAGAATTTAAATTAATAATCTCGTATATTAAGATTTATGACATGTCCACAACACTGTATATCTATTCACTTGAGAGCAAATCAACTTAATCAGTTATATTTTTCTATAGGTTTACAACACATTTTTCACTTATAAAATTCCAACACTTTCCAGACTCAAATTCCCAGATTTTCCTGTCAATTTTTAGTAAATAAAACAGTTGACTGTAAATGTGAAGTTTTTTTATTCGGAGAAAAGGCTTCCAATACATCTCAGTATTCTGCAGACATAAGAAGACAAACTGAAGTTAGAAAGTAAGTAAAAATGTTAATATGCTAGTTCTAAACTAAAAAAACTGAAAGGTAGACATCATTAAGTCAGTGGGTGAAATAGTTAACTGCATTATTAGGTAGTGAATAAGATTAGTAACTATGTTGGTTGTTAATTGTGTAAACTAGTAAATACACATTCTAGTGATTTGGAAAGCACATTAGTAATTTATTAAGTCAGTAAAGATAGAGTAAGTTAGTTGTGAGTAAGCAGGTAGGAAAATAAATGAGGTAAATTAGTTATTAAGTACATATGTTTTGGTTTCAAGTAAGTGAGAAAGTTGTTTTTAAACTTTTTAGTTGGTCATTAGGAAAGTAAATTAGTTGTCAAAACTAATACTATGATATTAGTTTTGCAGTAAGTAACCTAGTTAGCTATTATGCAACTTACTTAACTAAACCTCGCTACTAAATCTAGGTTTAGTAGCTAGATTTAGTATTATCTAGCTACTAAACTAGTTTAGTAGCTAGATAATACAATTAGACATACAAGCCTTGCAGAAAACTTTAATGTATCACGTGTTTCAACGCATTTATTGTGGTAACTAAGTAACAATCATATTATTGTCTGGTTTATTATTGTGACTTCTCTTTTAGATTTTAGGTATGTGTAATTAAAATAAAAACATTTTGACTTCTTGGAAGAACCAATTAGAATAAATGTGTGGATTGTCGACATAATAATCTTTTAACATGTTGTTACAGGTGCACAAGTTGCATGAACCTGAGCTGTAGGACTGTCCACTAGAATATAATAGTATTAGTTTTGCATTTGAATGACTGAGTTTAGATTAAATAATAATAATGCTATCATTTGATCAGGTACAGCTCAGTGTATCAATGGTTCTAAAGAGATCAAGATAAACCACATCTGTGGCAAATATTAAAGTGAGTTCCTGTCTTCCTTATTAGGAAATACGACCTATAATCACATCACTGCAACTTTGGCTCAATATTGCAATGATTAACTGATATGGTATTGTGTCAAACATGAAAAATGCTTAATGGCACAAATAGGAGACATGATACATGGAAATACTTCTGACCGTGTAAAGCAAAGCTGGAAAACACAGCGAGCCAACACACACGAATGAAACCACAGATTCCCCAGGGTTTGCTCTCTGCTCTGCATACATGGAGGTTATTGATATCTGGTTGCTGGCTGACACCTTTTAATAGAATCTCTCTTGTTTTAGGTTTCCTCTGCTCTGCTGAAGGCACACACGCCGCCTCCCCTGGGAGCGTGGGGGAGAGGAGTGGGGAATAGAAAGTGGGGATATGGCCTCAGTGGCAGCAGAGCACGAATTAAGAGAGGCATTGATGACACTTCCTGTAAGACGAGCTTTGATTTCACAGGCCATTTTCAGCACTGGAGAGAAATGACACTGACACAGACGGATATACAGGGAGGAGGAGAGGACTCCTCCATCTGTGGCGCTCCTTTCTCTCAGCCTTATGGAATCACTGGGATCAACAGAGGCCGGATAAATAATCTGAATATTTGCAGAAATGCACAGTGGAGCAGTGAGCAGCGCTGCTGAAAGACAGTTCTGGGCAGATGTGGACAGAGGACCCAAAAATTAAACTCAATAAAGAGCAGCACTACTTCAACATATTTTTACTCAAGTAAGAGTAAAAAACTCTTTGTTAAAAAGTCTACTTTAGTACTGAGTAACTGATAAAATCATTTAAAATAACATAATCAAACAGACCAAAATATAAAGAAGAAATTTTGGAATTTTAAGGACCAAAATGACAATAATTCACAACAAAAAATGACATCAGGCAAAAGAAAATGTTCCCAAACCAGTTTCTTTCAATAAGAAACTTGTGAAACTTTAACAAAAACTGCAGGTGTGTCTGTGGAGTTTTTGTTTTTTATTCAGTGGGTAGAAAATCCAGAAGTTTTAGGTAAGAGTGGAGACATTTCATAATAAAACCACTCAAAAGTAAAAAGTACAGGATAGTAAAAATACTCCTAAAAGTAATTTTTTTTTTCAAAAACAGTTACTTGAGCAATTGTAATTGAGTAAGCGTAAAAATAGTCCAGGATCTTCCTACATGGAGTTTGCATGATGTTCTCCCAATGCCTGCGTCATTTATCGTTACACATTTCTGATGTTAAGATTTTTATTTATTGTCACAATAAATTCCAATTAATGTTTTTTTATTAAAATAAAATAAAATTGTGTTTTACAACTTTTTTCTCTATTGTTTGTTCAATAAAGACATACCAATAAATACGATTTATTGTAGTTTATTCACACTTTTTTATGTGACTGGTGTCCTAAAGTAGAACATTAGAAAAGGGAATGTTTTTAAAGTTGCATTTGTTTGTGGGGCAAAGATTGTTCTGCCATCCATTTATCTAAAAAAGTACTAACAAAGAGTTCTCATAGTCACTTTTATTGTTATTAAAATACTCCCACAACATACTATAAAACTTTGAGTCCACATTACCTACCTCTACTTTCTCCCACAGGTCAAACTGTGTGGTTAATTGTCTGTAGGTGTGAGTGTGTGTATGCGTGTTTGTCTCTGTTTCCCTGCATGGAAAACATGCAAACTTCATGCAGAAAAACTCTCAGGATGGGATTTTACCACCAAACCTATTTAAACACTCATAGTCGGATCCAGTTTAAGGTTTTTAAATGTGTGAGCTGGAAGAACTACCTGGGAAGAAAAATAATGGAAGACACAAGACAAGAGTGTATGACTTTATAAGGCAGTGAGGCAGGAAAAGAGGAGGACAGAATGGCTGAAGAATCAGGAGACAGAGCAACACAAACAAGTCTCTGGGAAGCTGTCATGCTACCTATCACATGATGGCCCCTGTGGAGCCTGTCCTAAGCCAATTACAAGCAGAGTTTTAGTTGGAGAGTGGGCCAGAACCTGCTGGAACAAGTCCAAAGTCTATCACCTCTTGGCCTTTTCAGAGAGGGCAACAAGATCCGGCTTTGACCAGCCGGTCGGCTCCAACTTTCTCTGGTGGAGTGGCATTAATACTGCAGGAGGAGAGAGGAAACAAACAGGAAGACAGCAATTCCCCCTCTGTCCACTCATTCACTCCCTTTTGTGTGTGTGTGTGCGTGTGTGTGTGTGTGCATGTGCGTGTGTGTGTGTGTGTGTGTGTGTGTGCCTCCTCTGCTGTGTCTGAGTCTAAGGTCTCGCTGGGTTTCAGCAATCAGAGGCCTGTTGGGTGCACCAGGGCCACTTCCTGGGTGGCACCGTTGTGAGAGCTGCACTCTTGACTTGTATACAAGTCCACCGAATTGCAACGTTACAAAAAGACACACAGCCTCATCTGGTGTTTGTAGCTATTCACTCTTCACTCTATCAGGTTAATGACTGTTTCTGTCGACATGTTGGTGTGCGTAGTTTGTTTCCTTTCAGACTGACTAACCACTGAATAACTCGACAGGTGAGTGAAGCTCACCTGTAGAAAACAGTTAGCTCGTCTCTATTAGAGGGAGGCTGGATGAATGTAACTGGGCACCTGGTTTTTCATGTACAACTGGCTTGACAAGAGCAACTACAGGAGAAAACTATGAAACAGCGGTAGCAAGACGCTACAGAAGGATTTAGATTTTAATCTCAAAATTCAGACTTTATTTTCTCCAAATTTATACTTTAGAATTCAGAATTGTCAGAATTCTGAGTTCAGACGTTTTCTCAGATTTCAGTCACATAATTTAGATCTTAATGTCAGACTTGTGACTTTAATTTATTAAATTGGGCTATAAAGAGATGAAATATAGGTTCTATATATTTCAATGTGTTTTGCTCCTGCTGATGTTGAGTTTTGTTTTCATGGTCGGCTCCACCAAAACCAGAGATGAAAAAACTGCAACTTCCACAATAGAGAAATATAATAAAGATCATTATTGAAATAATTATGAGTTCTTATGGACGTTTAGGCTAATAGGAAAATGACAAGATATTTATGTGTTCAGTTCCCTGTTGTAAGAGATCTTGAAATGTTTCTGATGTTCTATGAAGCACCAAACGGTTTCGGCCCTAAACAGCCTTCAGAGTTGCTGGTCAGGTATGAACCTCTGGGTTTCCTGACACCTCTTTCATATCAAACGAGGCCATTTTCTTTCTAAGCTCCTCAGTTCTGAACACCTGAGATATGTAGAAACTGTTGGGACTAAAAACTCTGAACCCATAATACAATTTCTTTACCTCTGCTCCTTTATTTTTCTGAGGAACACTTGTGTAAAAATAAACTTGTCTTGCTTGCTGCTCTTCTCTGCTCTGTGGTTGTAACCTCCACAGAAGAGAGCAGGGCTGTCAGCTGTCTCATTAAAAATATTCACCCACCCCCCCACCAAAAAAAACAAACAAAAAGTGAAATACTTCCAAACCAGCTTTGCTAGTTTACTCCTGTGTTACCTGCGTGAGCTGCTTGCTGCTGTTGAGCTGCACAGTGAGAGAGCCGAGCTGCACCTTGATCACTTCATTGGCCTCTTGCAGCTCTCTAGCTGCAAGCAGAGCATCCTTCTTGGCACTTTGCAGGACGTCTATGTGGCGCTGCAGAGACTCGACGCGCTGCTGTAGAGAGGAGGAGGAGCAGCGCTGGGTCTTCATCAGCCTCTTCTTCCTCCTCTGTTTCTCCCCTCTTGTCCCTCGCTCCCAGGGCTCCTGCTGTTTATCATCTAACAGGAGGGAGAACAAGCAGCTGCCTCAGAGGTGACGTGAGCGGGAAAACTCAGGAATCTGTTTTTAGACGCTCCGGCTGGGAGTTTACCGGCGCATATAGACATGTATGTGCTTCATGTTTTGGCTTTTTCATTACAGTTCAGTTTTATTTAGCTTTTAGTTTTTGTTTGTCAAATTAAATTAGTTTTAGGTAGTTTTTAGAATTTGTTTGCAAGTTTTTATTAATTAAAAAATTGGTTTTAATTAAGCTTTGATTTATAAAAATAGTCCTTTTAGTTTTTTAAAAATTTGGTAAATTCATAGGTCAAAGCATTGTGATGTGATTACGAACAAATCGTATTGGGCAATGAATACTTTAGAAATATATTCAGAATTTTACCAAATGGAAAAGATTACATATTTATTTCCAAAAGCTGCTTTTAGTTGAGCTGGGGGCCAGAAGAAGCTCCATTCATGTAAATAAGTCAGACAAGTTGGACTTGTTAGACTGTATAATTGCTCTGTAAAAATTCATAAAATTTAAGTTCTAAAAAAGAAAAATGGGATTAAATTATCGTTGAACACGGGAAGTCAAAACTGTCCTCAACAAGAAGAAGGTTGCCTTCAGGAGAGGAGACAGGGAGGCCATGAAGGCAGCACAGCAGGAGGTGAAGCAGTGTGTGAGGGAAGCAAAAGACAGCTACAGGAGAAAGGTGGAGCAGAAGCTGAGAGAGAACAACATGAGGGAGGTCTGGGAAGGTGTGAGGACCATCACTGGCCTCAACACAAAGACCAGAGTCGTTGAGGGAACAATGGAGAGGGCAAACCAACTGAACAACTTCTTCAACAGGTTCAACCAGTCTGTGCCCCCCCAACCCCCTCTCTCACTGCAGCCACCTCTGCTCCTTACCACACACCTCCCCACAGACAACAAAACACTGACAACCCCCCCACACACCTCAGCACAACCTCCACCCCACATCACCACAGACCAGGTCAGAGAACAGCTGAGGAAGCTCAAGCCCAGGAAAGCAGCAGGGCCGGACCAGGTGTGTCCAAGGCTGCTGAAGACCTGCGCTGCTGAACTGGGAGAGCCACTACAGCGGATCTTCAACCTCAGCCTGCAGCTAAGGGAAGTGCCCACCCTCTGGAAGACATCCTGCATCGTCCCAGTGCCCAAGAAGAACAGGCCCAGCGAGCTGAATGACTTTCGGCCCGTGGCACTCACTTCACACCTGATGAAGACGTTGGAGCGGCTCTTCCTCGGCCTCCTCAGACCTCAGGTGGAACATGCTCAGGACCTCCTGCAATTCGCCTACCAGGCAGATGTTGGTGTGGAGGATGCCATCCTCTACCTGCTGCACCGGGCCCACTCCCACCTGGATAAGGGCAGTGGCACAGTGAGGATCCTTTTCTTGGACTTCTCCAGTGCCTTTAATACAATCCAGCCCCTTCTGCTCCAGGACAAACTAAATAGCATGGGAGTGGACCAGCACCTGGTCACCTGGATCCATAGTTACCTCACCAACAGGCCGCAGTATGTCAAGCTAAAGGACACCGTGTCTGACACTGTGGTCAGCAGCACAGGAGCCCCTCAGGGCACAGTGCTGGCCCCTCTTCTCTTCACCCTGTACTCCTCTGACTTCCACTACAACTCGGAGCTGTGTCACATACAGAAGTATGCTGATGACACAGCCATAGTCGGATGTATCAGGGACGACGGAGAGGAGGAATATCGCTGTCTGGTGAGGGACTTTGCTCTCTGGTGCCACACAAACCACCTGGAACTCAACACCTCTAAGACAAAGGAGCTGGTTATAGACTTTGGGAGGTCCAGACCAAAGCCGAGACCAGTCGTACTAGAGGGAGGAGGTTGAGGTCGTGGGCTCCTACAAGTACCTCGGGCTGTGGCTGGACAGTAAACTGGATTGGTCAAAACACACCAGCCACCTGTACGGGAAGGTGCAGAGCAGGATGTACTTCCTGAGGAGACTGCGGTCCTTTAACATCTGCAGCAAACTGCTGTGGATGTTCTACCAGTCAGTGATCGCCAGTGTCCTCTTCTACACCGTGGTGTGCTGGGGAGGCAGCACATCCAAGAAGGACACGTCCAGACTGGACAAACTGATCAGGCGTGCCGGCTCTGTGGTCGGCATGAAGCTGGACTCTCTGGTGACGGTGGCAGAGGCGAGGACACTGAACAAACTGCTGGACATCATGGACGATAGCAGCCACCCTCTACACGCCGTCATCAGCAGCCAGAGGAGCCTGTTCAGTGACAGACTGCTGCTTCCCAAGTGCCGGACCAATAGATTCAAGAACTCCTTTGTCCCCCACGCCTTCAGACTGTACAACTCCTCACTGGGGGGTCGGAGGTGACACAGGACAGAGGGAAGAAGGAGTAGTTTTTCTACAAATGTGAACTCCATATTTATCAGGCCAAACCATACAGTGCAATACCATATCACTGGTCAATCTATCGACCAAATTGCTATAATTTCCTTTTGTGTTGTATTTATATTCTTTGTTTTGTATTTAATTTGTATTTTTTTGTATTTTGTGTATGCTTACTGTGTGCCACATTTTTGCCTGTGAGCTGCTGGTAACTATAATTTCCTGAGGGAGTCTTCCCAAGGGATCAATAAAGTCAAGTCTAAGTCTAAGTCTAAGTCTAACAACCAACTGACTTGTGTTTTTTTAAAACCTTTGCTGCCACAAGGATTACAGTGTGCCGTAATTTGACGAATTAAACTGCTTGTGTGGAAAAAATAAGTCAATTTCACATCAGTTTGTGTTTATACTTCAATACCATGAAAATTAAGGATATTATAATTGTGATTTCAATACGTTTTAGTTAGTTTTATAAACGCACAACATAGTTCCAGTTAGCCATTGTTTTTCTCTATAATTATGTTTTTATTTATTTCAGTTAACAAAAGAGTTATTTGAATTTGAGTTTTTGTAATTTTGTTAGCTTTAGTTAATTATAATAAACTTGATGTGCACATGTGAAAACTCAGACACATCGAACTCCTAGAATGAGTTACACTTCTGATTTATACCTACTTAAAGAGTTGAGAGGAAAAAACTGAACAGCAGCAAATTAAATATTTTCGAACACTTAAGAAAGAAAGTGAAAATCTGAAAGGTGTGGCATGTTTTTGTGTTCAGCCCATTTGAGTCACCATATTGTAAAACTGTCTTTCAATGCAGCTGCATTTGGATTCAAGTCTGGACGTCTGGAGTTCAGGGAATATTCTATATATTGAATATCTGAGATTTTATCATTTTATTTCCATTTCACATCTACGCATGTTGAAAACTGCGGCTGTAACGTGACAAAATGTGGAAAACTTAAACGACTTGAATACATCTGTGAGGCACTGTGACTGTATTTAGTTGCTTTGGGTGTGAAAACTTGTGCTGACCTTGTTTTCTGTTGCATCCAGTCGCTGGTGCGTCTGTGCTGAAGCTAATCGACCGCCTGTAGGGCTAGAAGCAGAAAGTCGGTGAGCGTGGCGATAAAACGTCGTTTAATGGAACACAACAGTTGACAAGCTTTGGTTGGCTGACATGGGGATCGCGGTGACACTGTGATCACACACTCTGCTCGGCTTAACACAACAAGACAAATCATCCTGCGCCTAAATAATTCACCTGAACATGTTCAACAAACTCCTACAGTCCCCGACTCAGAGCGTGTAGATCAGCTCTGACAGCTGCTTGCTTTGTTCAATCACCGTCTGAGGGATTCGATTCATCCCACGCCACCAAAGCTACGAGTGTGTCGTCATTTACAAGCAAAAATAATAATGTGCATGCAAGTGTCTGTGACACCTCCCAATGCAAAACAGTTTGTAGTGACATCAAACGAGCCAGGTAGGGTTTAATCAGAGGCAGGTTTGATCAGAGAGGGGAAACGAGGCGTTTGGTTTGTGGCGCGGTGGGTTGTGTGGGGACCTGGGCTGCCACAGCAATGAGGATGGAAGGGTTGACGGGAAAATGAAAGGATCAGGAAAGACGAGTCCTGACAGCTCGCAGGTTATACACTGCAGGCACCGCTTTCAACTTCATGACTCTAATAAAGAGGTGGAAAAAAACACCTTAAATCAAATTATTGATTTGATCTGATATCTGAACATGCTTCATACGAAAACATCCAGACAGCATGGACTTGATCAACTTTGGCAGGTCAAACTGAAGCCAAACTGACAAAATCAGTTCTCAATGTCGCAACTGTGTGAGGAAAATCACATCATTTTGTTCTCAGTCTCTCGCCGTCTGGCCTTTCTTATTAACCTCCCTGGCGAACTTTTCATCCCCCTCTCCATGTTAAACTATGTTTATGTAGAAAAATGACGCTCAATTTGCTAACTCTGTTCAATAATTAGGACTGATCTGGATGTTCATCTGACTGTATGAAAGAGAATCACATTCTGTGTGATAAAGTATGAACCGTTCACACGTAAATACCTGGACGGTCGATGTGAATCGATGCCTCACTATGTTGATGCAGTATTTCATGAAAACGGAACCCCAACCAAGAAGTGAACAGAAATGAAAATTTTCTCAAGCCTGAAATTTCTGGCTAAAATATATATATATTTATCTTATTAGATATTCAACTTTTCCAAGACACTCATTTTGGGTTTTCATCCTCTGTGAGCCAGTCATCAAAATTGCAAGAAAAAATGCCTGAAATTTCTTCTTTTTTTTACTCAAACTTGATTTACAATTTTAATCCATTTGTTTTAACCTTTTAGAAAAAAAAAATTGGCCTTTTTTTTCAAAAATGGCTTTTATTTCAAACATTGGCTCTGTGATTTAACCTGAAGCTGTAAAACATGTTTGTCAAACTTGGTGGGCTGAAGGAGACAATGGTGGGAAAAAAACTCCAGATTTCCAAAAATTAGATCTTCAAAAACAGAAAATTTGATTAATCGATCACAGGAAGCAAATCCAGTGATCTAATCTGACTGGAAATTTGAGCTTTAAAAAAACAGAAGAAATATGAATGAGGACCAACCTGTCCTTGAGTTTGCCGCGTGTGAAGCTCAGTCCCAGAGGACTCCCCGTTCAGACTGTCCGAGTACTCCTCAACACTGTCACTGTAGAGAAAGGTAAAGTTTATTACTGGCTCTCAGAGTACCACCATTGGACAAAAAAATATCCAATTTACCTTTTATGGTTGATTTAGTTGACATCAAGCAAAAATATGTGCATTCCTACCCCCCTCCATCCAACAGAAAATCAATGTCCCGTCCAATTTCTGAGCAGGAAGTGTAAATGTGGGCGTAAATTAAGTGAAAAGCTGCTGGCGAATGCATCAACATGTATGAGAGTGGCTGTGGCCTTCATTAGCTCTCCGAGTGTGACAGACGTGTGTGAGAGGCATGGATGAGCGGAGCGCAGCAAACTTGCATCTGATAGACGCACAGCGAGGGCTTCACAAAACACACACACACGCGCACACACACACACAGGTCTATTGACAGTGACCTTTGACGTGAAGGTGGAAGCCAGTGACATTTACGCTGGCGGGTTTATTAAGGTGGGGTCTGGGAGCAGCAGCAGAGGTAAAGAGCGCTGAGTAGAGGCTCTAACTGGGGGATGACATGGCTGGGGGGTTAAATCCAGCCTGGTGAGGACCGGGGACTTGTTGAGGATTACTGATCACCACCAGGGAAACCAAACTTGCATTAATTTGAGAAAGAACCACCAACTTTATGGAGCGGAAACACACCGACCTACAGTTAGTCATTGCAAATTAGAGCTGCAGCTCATGATTAATGTTATAATCGATTATTCTGATGCAAACCAGTCAGAAAAATTTAAAACTACTACTATAACTATTAAAAACTAAACTAAAACTAAACAATATGTAACTACAAACTAGCAAACACTCTAAAAACTAACCAAAACTAACAGAATTAGACAAACACAAAGGCACAAAGAACAAAAACTAAGCTATAATGAAAAACTCAAAAATAACCCTGAAACACACTCAGACCAAAGGACAGTTTGTCAACAAATCAACCTAACAGTCATGTTTTTGGAAAACAGGTCTGATCCAGCATTTCTATCTGGATGCAGCGATTGTGTCCTGCATCCAGCAGGACACATGACTTGATCAAGCTTTTTCTTTCATCCACAATACAAAATAAGTAATAAATATGTAAGATTCCTACTGATATTGTTAATATCAGTACAGTAGATCTGGACAAAATGGCTGCAAAATGAATCGATATAGGCATTTCACATCAGTTGATATCAATATCTGTTTAGTCTTTTGTTTTAAAGATCTGAAATAATCCCAGATTAGAGGTGTGACCTTTCCTTTGTTCGCTCCACAACGTTGTTTTTTATTTTTAAGGTACGGTGACAAAACCTTAAACTGCTGCTGGGCAACTTACTCAACAAGTTGTAGGTAACCAAAGAGTGAATAAGTTAGTTGATGCCACCAACCATGAGAAGTTCAGTGGCTAATAGCTTTTCCTCTACCAGTCTCCCAGAATGCTGTGCGGTTCTGGATCGGAGTACAATGAACATTCTATATATTGAACATTATATATTATATATATTGTTATATTGTGATCTATTGATATTGATCACAATATAAGGTGCTTTACTGTATTGTATCGGAAGTGAAAAAGTGTTATCAGAGCAGCCGTATTAAAAATGTCATAGTTTGCCGATTTAAAGTGACAAAATACAAAAAAATTAAGGTTTTCATATTTTTGCGAGGCTCTCTAGGCCTGACATCTTTATCAGACGACACAGAGCAACGTGTCTGAAAAGAGGATTCCTGTAACATCAGAAAGGCCAAAGGCTTTAAAGTATCAAATCGGTTGACAGGCGCCTTAAATAAGACAACATGTCGGTTTAAACACTCTTGTTCACAAATCCGCTTAGATCCTCCTCTCAGGTAAAGCATTTATTAGACCGCCGCTTATTAGCCACATGGAGGGGTATTAGGCAAGCTGGGCGTTGGTGCACCCAGTCGCTGTTAAATGGCCTCTTGCGGATAGAGCTGGGGAGGATTACGGCGTGATGAATTAGCTGGTGAAGAGGTGGTGAGCGAGCGGGATGGACGGAAAGGCAGCGGCGTTCAGGAAACGGCTTATTTTTGCATAAAACATACATGAAATAATTACTGTCGATGGCTGTTAATTTAGAGGCTGTTAAGCATCTTGTAGACATCTGGTACTGATCCGAGTTGGGTCATTCAAAATTTATCCAACAGAATTAAGGCGAGCAGAGAGGAGAAGACATACACACCGACATGCCACGAGATAACCAGCATAACTACACACAAGGTGGGGTAAGCCTCCGCGCGCGCGTGTGTGTGTGTGTGTGCGTGCGTGCGTGTGTGTGTGTGTGTGTGTGTGTGTGTGGGTGTGTGTGGGAGGGGTCCTTGCAGGGGGATCCTTAGTGCTGTCAGGGGGGGTTTGTAAATATGCAAAGAACCAGTAAATTAAATCAAACTGCCAAACTGTCAATTTCGGGGTAGCGTGACTAGTGCATGAAAATGGCATCACTGGAAGGTGTGGAGGCTTCGGCGGCCCCTTATCCCTGGGCTTTTCTGGCACAGGTTCAGCTCTGCGCAGAGAGGTGGCTAATTCTGCATGCAAATTTCAGTCAATAAGCTGCGAGCAAGTCGTCCCAGGATATTTCAAAGGATCTGACAGTAGGCTCTCCCTCCTCTCTCCTTCTCTCTATCATTCTTGCTCACATTCTTGTTTTTGGCTTCTGAATACCAACTAGACAGACAATGAAATTCAATCAGCCGTTTGCTTACGGTTTTTGCATATGCACATTGTCCCCCTTGATGCCGTATCCCCACCGTTCAGAGGACCCGTCCTCTCGTCTCAAACCGACTGAAAATAATGAGGGGGACAGAGAGGGGAATCATTACCTCTCTGCGCTCATGTCCTCCCACTCGTCCTTAGTGGGGCTGAGGTTATGGCCGTGCCAGCTGATGGCTTGATTGGAGCTGACTGTTGGGTGGCGGCGCGGGCGTGGAAGGCCTCTGTGCCAGGTTGTCTTCGGTTTGACCTTGGCGCTGATGTTGGCGGTGCCGGCCGGCCGCGCCGGGCCTGCTGCTCGGTTCCTGTAGAAGTCCTGGCTGCTCTGGCGATACCCAGCTCCTGCTTCAGCTTCAGCAAGTGATTGTTGAGCCTGGCGATTTCTTTTTGAGCCGCGGCCAGTCGGGATTCCAGAGCCGTGACCTCGCCACGGTGCTGCTCATCACAGACCCGGGTCCGGACCCGGGCCTCCTCCTCCCGGTCAGCTTCCTGGTTCCTCAGAAAGTCGATGGAGGCTTGGAGTCGTCGGCAGTTGTTGGCCAGGTCTTCGTTGGCCTTACGCAGCTTCTGCCTCTCTTCCTTCAGCGCCGCTGTCTGCTCCTCCAACAGCATCAACCTCTGCTCCAAAGAATTCATCTGGAAGAACCAAACACATTGACATGGAACCAACCCGTTCCCCAAGACACACACTCCCTACGTTTCAAAACTCAAATTTGCATTTGAATATTTTCTAAATATTCTGAACAATGAAATACAAATCATTTAACTTGAAAATGCAGCAGTACTCAGCCTTATTATTTGTCCAGTTCACAATTTGTACGTCATAAAGTAGCTATCAATTCAGACATAAAGCAAGACTGTGAGCAGATAACAGTAAGGTTGGGAACAGTGAGAAAACCCAGGCCGACATCAACTAACTGTGATTATTCTAACATTAAATATTCATTAATATAATGTTTCTACTATTGTACAGCAAAATGTAACACCACCACATCCCACACTGAATCTATTTATTGTGTCATAACTTCTGAAAAAACTGAAAATCTCTCTTTGTGAAGTCAAATCATGGTGAAAATGTTGCTTTTCTGCACAAATAACAGAATCTATGAGGATGGACAGTTTGGCATTAAGTCTGTAATCAGCAATGCTTTATATTTCTGGGTGGGGGTGTGGACATTTGACTGCCGCGCCCTGATCTGCCTTAACCAGACAGCAACCAGCCACTCTTAGTCTTTTTGTTAGATCTTCAATGGAGGCTGTTTAAGAGAACAGGGGCTGCCTGCTGGGTTTGTGCCTCCAGGCATTTTCCCCCCTTTATTTATGTTCTCACACTCTTCCTGCTGGTAGAGCTTGATACCTTTCAAACAAAATTAGACAGCTATCGCCAGCTGTGATGATTCACTGTCATGAAACCAAAACCGAAGCATCGCATGAACTCATGCAAGCAAGATTTTAAAACAAATGCAACCTACCAACACCTCCACTATGAAGTTTAGAACAAAATACTATTTTCTGGTGTAATATTTCTGGCTGCTTATTATAGAGTTCTTCTTGGTAAATCTGAGAAAAACAAAGTACTTACCGGCTGACACTTGACTTTGAAATAACCACAAAGTGATAAAAGACCTTCAAATCTTCCTTGAAAGAGCAAAGCCAAATTTTCCAGGAGACATCTTGCGGGAGATGGCTCTGTCGGGTTTTCTTTATTGGTAATGACACGGAGCACTTAGCGAAGGCACGGTGCCGTACCTTTTTAAAAGACTGTTTCAGCCGACTCGAAGAGAGAGGAGGTTTGATCGGAGTGCTGCTCTTGACCTGCTGCTCCTCTGCCATTTTCTGAAGCAGCTCTGCAAAGAGGAACAAAGCTTCTTATTGTGACACTCTGTGTCAAATCCTGCAGAGGCAATCAATAGAATTATTAAAAGAGGACACATTAAATCAATTAACATTAGTATAGTCTAATTTCCTTCCTCAGGTCTGTGTTTTTTTTCTTTCTTTAGTCAATTATGGCTTAAAGTCACTTTTCCCTCCTTAAAATTCAAGCACTTTTCTAGCATTTTCAAGGTATGTTTTAAAACTTTTCCAACATCACACTGTGAAAACTGTTTCAACTCACTATTATATTCCATTTATTACTGTTATTATTATTTTTTTTTGTCACAGTATTCTACAGTTTGTAGAAGAGATAAGGTAAACTGAAATATTATGTTTTGAAATGTCTCCCTCACCCAAAAAACTGACTGGTCCAGGAGAAAAACACAACTTTAACAAAAGGGTCATGCAATTTCATTAAGGAATAATAAATATTCGTTACACTGAAACAAGTTTTTTGGCATTTAGCACATAGAATAATTTTGGTCACTTCAAATGATCTAAAACAATAAAAGCTTCATCTGATTTAACTTCAGGCAGTGAGAAGAAAAATGGGAAATTAAAATATTTGGTTTCAATATTTTCCAAATTGAGGCTTTTAATCAAGTATTAGATTACACATTATTGCAAAACTGAGCAACTTGACTATAAAGTACTTTGATTCAAGGATTTTACATCAAAATCAAGCACTTTCCAAACCTTGAAAACACAGATTTCAAGTCCCTGCATTAACTCTGTAAAAGTCTTATCATTCACAGGCCCTTTAACTCCAGATTAACAGGAAATTGTTTTATTTTATCGCTTGTAAGGAAATGAAAAAACAGTCTTCAAAGGCACACAGTAGTTCTGAGTATGTGCAACTTTTCTCAGGGGATCTTAAACAAACAGCAGAAGTGCTTGAATCCCAGGTGAGCACATTGCCCCAGGCTGCGTTGCTTTGTACTCCTCTGTGTTTCCTCAGAGCACCTCTATTCTCCACAGACATGCATGCTGCCTTATTGCGGAAACATCAATGATAGCAGTGGCCAGCATCTGATTTCAGGTGATAAAAACAGAATGAATTCAAAAGTCTTGGTGCTCAAGGGCTTAATGCACAAAAAACACACACTGTTAAAGCTTTTGTGTCACTATTTAAAAGGCAGCATATACCTGCCAAGGTGGAAGTAAATGCAAAGGGCAACACAAAACAATCTAAAACTTTCTACCTTTCCTTCTCCATTTTTAAGGATTTATGACAAGACGACCAAAATAATTTGTACAATGAGCTGGAAACATTAAATATTCAGGATCTTGACTTTTCAGGTCAGTTGGATATTTTTTGAGGGAGAAAGAGGGAGGAAAAGGGAAAGATGGCTACGTTGTGGAAAAGCTGCCGCTCCCTTTCTTTGCGTTGACGCCTTGCCCAGGGAAGTTTGTTACATTGAATTAGCCTGGCCTTTTGTCTTCCTTACGTGTCACATTAAATCACACAGAGCACCAAATCGGACAGGAGGGCTGCTGTGTTCGTTGGGTACATAACCAGGCTGAGAGACAATTACCCGGCTGCCGTGTTAGTGGCATGGGAGTTGGCACCTCAGCACTACCTTGATAAGAAGACGTGGTGGCTCCCTAGTCACCTGCAGTTGAAGGAGGTTCTGGCACCGCCGCATACATTAACGTCCCTCCCATGACTCCTCACAGGAAGCAGCTCAAAGGCCCCGTTCCTTTCATCTGCCCCCTTTCGTTAGCGTGATCTCAGAGTGAGCGCTTCAAGCCCACAGCCGTCTGATTGGGTCGCACAAGTTCCTCTCCACTAAAACGCTGTGGCCTTTCTCAAGGTTTTTGTAATAATCTTCCAATTCCCACAGAGTTCTTCTCATACGGGTCGCAGTTAACTTGACAAGGAAAAGAGCAGATTCTCCAGATAAACATGTTCATGAATTCACATACACTTAACTGCTTTCACCAAGGTCATTACATCCTTGCTGCACTGCAAAACACAAAATCTTGCTTGCCAAGTATTTTTATTTAATTTCTAGAGGAAATATCTCGGTACACTTGGAATAAGACAAACCTGACTTACAAGGAACTTTTCAGCAACATATAGGAGCTTGTTTTAAGTCAATAATTTCTAAAGAAGTGCTACTTTCACAGGTAGACTGGCAGAAAATATGCTTAAATGCCAGTTCTCTGGACCAGCAAGGAGCCGTAGTATAACTGGGGTTATGCTACTATTATATCTTTATTATATCTTTATTCAGATATTATTTCTCAATCAAGAATGGTTGGAGTTTTGCTTTGTGGAGAGTTACAGGCAAATATTACCAAGTATTTTTATCTAGTATCTAGTGGAAATATTTTAGTACACGTGCAATAAATCAAAAATAAGTTACAAGTAACTTTTCAATGGAAGTTCTTATCAAAATTAAGGAATTATTTACTTTAAACAAACTCCTATAGCTTTCCGAAAAGTTACGTTTAAATAAGGTTGGAACTTATTTCAAGAGCACTAACATATTTGCTCCAGACAGTTTTTTTGCTTTGAATCAGAACTTTTAACTGGTCTGGACAACTTTTTCCAGTCATTCCAGCTGGAAAAAAGGAATCAGAACCACAGGTCCAGAAACCTTCGTCATCTTAATCTGCTAATGTGGTTTTCTGGTAAAAAGGGGCATAAAAGGACGTTTAAATTTAAATGTTTAATCAATTTAGATGATAGTGAACTTTCACTGTTTTTACTTGTAACAGCAGAGTTTTCTGATTTGTTTTCTAACAAATAAAATCTTTGGGAGAGACATTAGGGTGATAAAAAATAAAATTAATTCTTGTCAAGGTTAATAGTTCAGAGAGCTTTTTCCTATATCATCATTTTACTGTCAATGAATCTTCAGTCTGACAAATATAAATATTTTAATGAAATCACTTCCATTTGATTTGAAATGATGTAACCAATTAGATGATATGAATAGAAAATTAATGACATTAATAAAGTTCAATGTGTCGTATCAACTGCTAAACTTTTCAGAAAAACTGATGCATAACTGTCTTTCTTTTTCTGCCTGACTTCCTAACAAAGCCATCAATAAAAGCAAATTAGCTAATTAGTTCTCTCCTTTGTAGCAAATCATTGCAGCGTAAGACAAAGTCTCTAGTTGTGGAGAAAATGAAAGTGATCTCAAACAGATCTGTTATTGAACTAATTAATTAAATCCACAGGATGAAGTGGACAGCATGTGATGGTGTCATTGAGTGGATTAAAAGAGATGTGCTTTTTAACACAGAGAATGATGCATGTAGACAAAGCTGACGCTGTTTGATCTCCCAATCAATGGGAGAGGAGTTGATCAAGTCTTAATTGACTTGTTCTGTTAATTCCGCAGAGGGGAGTTGTATTAATTCTCCTGATTAATACACATTTCCCAGAGGGGAACGGCTAGCTACCAGCATGCACTTCACCATGAGAGGCGACACCTTGACATATTAATCCTTATTTTTTGTCTGTAGAGGCTTGGTGAGGGATTTGAAATGAATCCATTGTGGTGATGTGGTGGCACAGGGGCAAAGCACGGCCCACGTATTGAGGCCTTAATTCTCGTGCTGGCGGTCACAGGTTTGACTCCCAGTCTGGTGACGTTTGCCACGTCTTCTCCCTCATTACTTTCTTTCCTGTCTAACTACCTCCAAATAAAGACCGCTGGAGCCAACAAAATCTTTTGAAATAAATAAATTAACTATGTAGTAGAATAATTCAAACTAATATAGAGAAAGCTACGGATCGAGATACACAAACAACAATGAAAACAAGAGGGAGTTGACCTTGATGATCATTACTGAGACACATGCGGAGCTCCTTCGCTGTGGTTCGGTCCATAGCAGACTGGACTCGCAGCATGTCCAGCTCCTCTTCTAGGGCAACTCTGCAGAAGAAAAACAACTTTTTACTATTTCACCCATCAATCTGTGATAAGGATGAGAATATTTTGAATTGGAGATGGGATTGTGTAGAGAGTAAAAGAGATTAAAAACAATATTGAAAGCACAATGTTCCGTTTTCAGAAAGACCATAAAATTATTTTGTATTTTTGAGCAAATGTGTGGATCAGGTGAGAGCAGTAACGTTTATGATTTTTAGTTACAGCAAAAAACTCAAATGTTTGAACCGCTGCTTTGAACGACAATTGTTGTAATGCCTCACTGCCACCACATGAGGGCAGTAATGTGCAAAGTTGTTTGCCATTAAGCTGTAAATATGAACCTTGACTAGTCTAAGGCCCAATACTGACTATAGACTATTACCAGTTTCACTTGCAAGTATCAGTCAATTTACACAAAGTTAAAGAAATCTGAGCTGATTTATCATTGCACCCCAAGTTAAAGCACAGACACTTTATGACCTCCACCAAGAAACTTCTCCACGTTTTCATGCCGGTTTTCCAACACGAAAGAGAAAACAACGGCATGACGAGGAAATCATCTAATTAAAATACTTTTTAACACATCTGGAAATCAAAGTGACAAGCAACATGAAACGGTGAGGAAGCAAAGTACGCTGTGCAATATGAATGTGTGTGAGTGTTAACAGGGAGGGAAAAAAACCAAGGTGTACCCAATTACCTCTGTGCAATTAGCTTGATTCCTGCTAAAGGCTAATTATGTGGAGCCATGCTCTCGTCTTTGCACTTTCAAGTTATTATTAGGACCCCAACTGTAGTCTTTTGAGGATACACACAGGCCCACGGAGACAACCACACCTGAAACACACACCTAATTTCCCTCCCCTCTGCTCCAGAGAGTCGGAGAAAAACACAAGAATCAAACTCCAGCGATTCTAGTGGCATTCTTCCCAAAGTTAACCTCATTACAAACAGTAGGCCTTTTCTAGGATCGACGTCTAATGATCCATTTGGACTGCAAAACTTTAATTTTCTTACAGAAATCAAGAGAGTTTTTATATGGTCTGCACAGTCCAGATAATTACCTCAGAGATGTTTCTGCTGTTGCAGAGGGAAGAGAAGTAATAAGTACATTTTAACCCACACAGTCCAGAGTCCTGATCTTCTGGCTGCAGCCTAAATAAGAACACAAATGGCTCTCCCCAGAGAAATGAGGAAGCAGATGGATATGTGTCGCTTCTTTATAGATTTTCCTCCATAAATGAACTCAAGTCGATGAGACGCCGGCACTGCCTTATGTGTCCGGGCTGTTAATGGGACCAGTGAGCTGAAATATGCAGCATGTAGAGAGAGCCTGTTCCATCTCATGTTTCTCTTTTATGCCTTTTCAGATGCTGATAGTATTGATGCTGAACACAAGTCCATGTGCCAAACATTGGGCTGCGCTGAAGGATAAGCACAGTTTCCCCAACAGAACAAAAGATTGGATTTCAGATGGAGTTCATTGGTGCAGGTCGTCACGTTTCCCAACGTCACATTGTGGAGATGGAGCACCACTGCAAGCTTATTTACTAACACCTAGATGGAGCAGCGATTGCTTTGCCTGTGAGAGATGGGGAGTTAACCAAGATGGAGATGTTCTGAGAATACATGCTCCTGAGATGCAACACGAACAATTAAATATATAAAAAAATGATTACTGTATTTATACCACTTGAAACTGCGACTGAAATATTTCAATGTAGTAGAACTTTGCACTATTAGATGCTGCTTGCAAAGCAGCCAATCCAGGAGTGCCATTCATTTTCCTTAGTGCTGACTGGCTGAGATACTGAAGACAGTAGATTTTAGCTTTCAAGATACCAAGTTGGCTTCCACTCTGCATACTGATGCATATTAATTATATTTGGGCTTTGAACAATCCCTGGCCAAAAATCTAAAGTTTATTTGAGCTTCCTATTATATCTTCAATGCATGGACAACTGATTTTTAACACTAAAGAACATTATTTCTATGTGATGCACCCACCATGCAGTGTGTCTAAGTATGTGAAGCCAGTACTGTGATCTGGGATTGCTGCAGTTGGTCAGGTCAAAGTTCAGCATCATCATGAGGTCAGCTAACTATATGACAATATTGGATGACCAGGTTATTTCATTAATGGATGTTTTCCTCCATCATGACACGGTGATATTAATACATCACTGGATGGAAATAAATCTGGAGATGTTGCAGAAGCTTACAGAAACAACGCCACAGAAAATTTGATTTATACTCAAGATTAAAGGCAGTACAACTAAATATTACAATGGGTGATCTTTATTGTTTTTGCTGTGGTGGTGGTGACTTATTTTGGCCAAGCAGTGTATTAAAATAGGTAGCTATAATTGTTTTTAAATGGAGTTTCAAGTATTTCCATATTTTATATATTTTACTTAATAATTATGTATAATTTTAATGTGTTAAGCATAAAAAAATCTGATGTTTACAAAAATTAAACATTTAATCAGCTATCAGATTTTTAAGTCCGAGTATAGATGGGAACAATGTTTAGTTTTTGAGCTGTGACTTTTAAAATAACTTTCAGACACGCTGAACCTCACTGAACCTCAGATCACAATTACTTTCTATGAATAAAGATTTTTCTTTCTTTGACGTGCCAACTGTTTTTAAAGTAATAATGAGGGGGGGAAAAAACTCACTTTACTAATTAAAAAACATGCATAAATCATTCTGTTTGTGTTTGAGCATGTGCACAAATGTGTCCCTCCTTCAGCTAATCCCTGGTCCAAAGGGGCAAAAGACTCTCATTACCTCTAATACCTTTTAGCAAATCAAGATGAAAAGAAACAAAATAGTGGAATACGGCGGACATTAGGGCAAACTTTATTAGACTTAATTAGAGTCAACGTCGCTTATTGGGGAGGTTCACATCCATAATGGTCACTCTGTGCAGAGGAGCAGTGCAAAAGATCTCAAAGGCTTTTCCCACCAGTAATCGCTATCTAACCCGAGCTTTGATGTCGTCTGAGTGTAGCATCTTCAGTCTGAGGGTGCACTGCGTGTGTTTATTCTGTTTATGGAGCCTAAATAAACCCTGCCTCTTTTCACCAACAGACCTTTAACAACAATTAGCAAGCATGGACATGGAGCGCCACAGACAGAAGCATAATGAGATGGATAAGGAGATTTTCTCACCCATTCTGCCCGGAGTTACCAGGAATGGCATAAAGAAAACCTTAATTTTAGGGGCTTTTTTCTCTAAAAGTACCGGCAAAGCAAAAAGATATTCAACTAGAAGCAGCTTAAAATGTGCAAAGTGATACATCAGGGTGATATGTGATCAAACAAGAGTAATAATAATAATAGAAGATTGTTCTCAGTAATGCTTGGACTTGTTGGTTAAATGGCAAAACTATGTTCTCACAGCTGGTTGTGGTGATCAAACCAGAACAGTAGCAAGTCATCAGACATTATCTCTGCAATTTACCAAAGATAATCTAACAATGGATTTTGAAATCTGACCAGATTCTTTCCGATTTACTGGAAGCTGAAGTGCAAGTTTAAAACACCAGAGAACATTTTATCCCTCTCCAGTTACAGTCGCTATGTGACCGTTTGCTGAAGTGAAGGAAGCTATTGCATGGGGATTTGATTAAAATTTGTTGAAACTCTTATTTTCAAGTATTAAACAAAATAATTCTCAAGTTGACTGTTTATGTTGACAGAATCAACAAATAAAAACCAACTTTAGATCATTCTGTTAAAAGCATGATTGGTATGCATTAAGAAAAGTAAAACAAAAACAGAAAAAGGAGAGAAAAGAAAAGGTCCCAACACTTTGGTCTGCTGAATGTGACCCACCACAATCCATTACCACTCATGGTATCATTGCTGGGTAGAAGACATAACAGAACCGAGAAGCAAATAATCTGTAAGCACAATGGAAGCGATGATACAGTTAGTGTCTGTTAGACAGAAAGGAGAATATGTCTAATGCTTCTGGTTCTGAAAAGTGCATATCTATTGGAATTAAGGGTGTGGATTTCCAAACGTTCATCTGTGTCAGGACGCGGTACACAGCTTCTGCTGTGACGTTGTCCTTCCATTCTGATTAATAAGTAAGTTCTTCCAAGTGATCAGTTAATAGAAACGTTCATCAAAATATATGTGAAGCTCTTAATGAAAATACTGTCAGTATTCTGATTCAGAAGTTGCTGAAACTTAAGTCACAAGTTCAGCAACATGAATTTGGCTTCATGCTGTCAAAAACATGGTCTATTTTAATGATTATCAGGAACTCCACATAGAAGAATGGCAGCTTCACATACAGGTTATGTTTAAAATCCAAATTATGAAGCAAATCTTTATTAATTTTTTTTTACCAAGATGGTTTGCAGATTAGTCAGACTGAAATCACTGCAGAGTAGTTAAAGGCTCAGGAATTTATACATGAACATATATGTGCCATCAAAATGAGACAGAAGCATGTTGCCTTCTCTGAGGCAGCTTTGTGTCATTAAATTAAGCTGCAGCAGGGGGGCTGCAGATCAACCATAAAAGCAGATCTGTTTCACCTTCCTCAATCTTTTCATAACTTTCTCCTGACACAGTGGGAGACCTATTGGGCAGGAATCATCAGAGCCATATTCATACTGGGTCATCTGGCCATGCAAACATTGCTTCACAAGTGCAGTTTATGCAGAAGGTTAAAGGACACATCTGTGAATCATAACATAACAATGAAGAACAAAAACGAGAGTTTAAAGCCACTCCCCATTAAAAGCCCTGAATTGTTCATTAGCCGTTAGGTAATTAGTGGATCATTGCAAACACTTGTCCAGCATAACCTTCACAAGCATTTATTATGGAACAGTTGATGGAAAAACAAACTTTAAATGTGAGTTTTCTGTTAAACTACTTGCTTTTTCTGCACTATATTTGTTTTTGCTGTTCTGACTCATTGCTTCCACTTTAAAAAAAATAATAAGGTCAATTGGGTGGAGCAAAACAATTTAATAGCTTGGTTAACAATGGTTTATCCCACCACCTTGCAACAGATAAATATGTCAGCGTAGAAGAGAGGCTGTGTGTGTGAAAATACATGCCCTAGGATGAAGAGTTTCCAAAGCACAAGTTTAAAGATTTCAGCTAAGTTTACTTTGCACCAGCCACCTGGGTAAGGAGAGGTCCCTGGGCCAGGAATAAAGGAAATGAGGTGGAGCTGGGCAGAGGCACATAAAGGGAATCAACAGCAACCCCGGCGGACTTCCCTACTCCACGTCTAGGAAAGAGGCCAGACACTCTGCGGTCCCTTGTGGCTTTCTCCGCAGGTCAGATCCAAGGACCCTGCAGGTCTGCAGTAGTCCGTTCTCCCCTACGCACCCCGCCCTCAGCCCGTCTTCGGCTCGGCTCTGGTCGCGGCCAGGCAGGAAGGCGGACGGACATCCCTTAACAGGCAGCATTGGCGGCACTAGAGCTGCTAGCCTTGTAATTAGCTCGGACAGCTCAGGCTTGGAGAGAGGCAGCCGGGCTAGATCATAATGAGCTCAGCTGGGATTAGGAGGACAGGGCAGTGGGGGTGAGCAGAGGGGAGGGCAGCGAGAGAGAGGGGTGGGGGGCAAGTACCAGAACCCTGGCCTCAACCGGCTGCAGCATCACAGAGGGCCAGAGGGAGGCAACTGAGCAGACGAGCAGAAAACGGGGAAGAAGAGGGTACAGAGGCACAGGATGGAGTTGGGGCGACGCGCTGAGAGGTGAAGGTGAAAAGAAGAAGGGAGAAGAAGACAGCAGCTTTAGGCGAAGCTTTCTGGAGCAGTCGGGTTTGAGATAGAGCTACGGATTCTGGATCAAGAACACAAAGGCTAAAAATGTCTGCAGACAGAGTGAAGATAAAAACAAGAGCAGAGGCCGAATGAAAAGAACATCCAAACACAACGGGAAAGCATCTGGTACAATGAAAAGACTGACTCATTCAGTCTGTCAGTGTGGAATAAATAGTTTCAGATTGTCCACAATCCTCTGCAGATCATGAACATCTGGATAATTATACGCCTTTTTTGTTCTACATAAAGATCTCCAACATGTCTGCAGGCTGGTCCTGCAGCTCTTTACCTGAACTGTGGGTTTCCACGATCAGCAAGTCTAAAAATGGGATTGTTCTTTGCACCAGCAACCATAATCAATTTCTATTTATGAGGAGTTTACTTTGAAGACCAACACAAAGCAGTTTTTAATGTTCTTAAATTATGTTTTAGTATGTAGCGCACCGTGTTCTGACCGGATCATTATTTGTGGAGGGCAGTACTCTTACTTCCGCCTGCGAGTTGGTGTGAAGTGCTAGCAGCACGGTGTTGCATTGTGCTGGGTTTTGCCAGGGTGTGGGGGACAAATAAGAATTGTTGAACTTTGCGGTACGATGGTTGGACTACGACAGCTTTTCAGGCGTCGGAATCGTGTCGTCGCATTTCGGAGCGAACGGTCGGAATGGCACAGAGAGAGAGAGAAAGATCTGATTCCTCGGATAATCCTAAAAATATTCTATACAGTACTCGATTACTAAAATATTCTTTTACAACAGCCCTACTCAGAACTTCATGGTTATGTTTCTTTTCTCAGCAATTTTGATTGCAAAAATAAAATCACAAAACAATCGCAAAGTTCTGGTGGGACTGGCTTGTCAGAAAATTGATACAACACATCACGCTGCATCACCAGCATTATGCTTATGCTTTTCTTTCCATCAGTGACAAGAAAACTGCTCAGTTGACTATTTTATAGCTTAAAAGAGCCAAAATCAAAGAATCTGACTTGAAATCATGTAAAACAGACACACCCCATCTAGTCAGATTACCTCTGAGTCACAAGAAAACAAGAAAAAGCTCAAATTGCCATTTGATTCTAAGGTGCTGAAAACAAACATTCAGATTTCTATTTCTAGAGTGAAAATATTCTAAACAATTAAACGTTTTCCTTTCACTTCACTATTTTACATTAATGTGAGCTGCTCTGTCAAACAAAATCCATAAGAAATAAACAAAAGTTTGTCGTTGCAACTTGACAAAATATGAAAAGTTCAAGAGTGAAAAATATTTTTGTCTGACTTCTGGAAATCCAGCTTTAGAAATGAAGTTCATGACGCTCATGGATTCGTTGCTTCTGCTTTCTGCTGTTTATGGATAACATGCATGATGTGAAGCCATATAACACTGTGTGTGTGTGTGTGTGTGTGTGTGTGTGTGTGTGTGTGTGTGTGTGTGTGTGTGTGTGTGTGTGTGTGTGTGTGTGTTGTGTGTGTGTGTGTGTGTGTGTGTGGAAATTTGGGAACTTCACTGCAGTGCTGCCAGTGATTCTGAATGCAGGTCACTTACTTTTCAGCAGTGAGTTTTTTGTTGAGGTTTTTCATGTAGGCCAGCTCGTTCCACACAGCGTCACTGTTCTCTTGTCGAAGCTGCCACGGCTCTGGGCGCTGTTTCCTTCCACCTGCCCTGCACACACAAACAAACACACACAGCATGGAAGAGGATGCACGAGAAACTGTAGAGGCAAGCAAATGCTGAGATAAAAACTGAACAAACAACTCCACTCGCACACGTACAACGCAAACGTATAACAAGGGAAAATCGCTGGTACTGTACATCACCTTGCTGCCGTTGGCAACCCACATGGGGGTAATGAGGCTCCCTCTGTTTTTGTTATTCAGCCATATTTAGCGGTATTCAAATGAGCAGCCTTGACTTTGACACTTCATGTACACATCTGTGTGTGTTGGTTTGAAGCTCAGGGCACTGCCCGTGTGGCAGGGCAGTGGAGCATTCCCTGAGCACCATGCAAATGTAAATAGTGGCAAAAACACACTCGCAAACGAGGTCATTCGAATGTCTACACCTCACTTATGAATACTTAATGACACTTTGAGCTCAGTAGCTGCTGCCTCCGTTGAATTCCCCCCTCTACTCCCCACACACACACACACACACACACACACACACACACACACACACACACACACACACACACACACACACACACACACACACACACCTCTGCTCAGCCCCAACTGCATCCAACTCATCAATCAGCCTAAGCGCAACATATTCAATTCCAATTAGGCTTTCATTTACAAACTGAAACAGGATTTAGTGAGAAATCCACAAATTGCAAAAGAAGCTGATGAGAAGACGTTCCTCTCCATCTCACACTCATACGACAGTCTCCCATTTTCGCTCAATCAATGTGATAGAGGTGTGGAAATGGATTGTGGGGGTCACAAAGCTCTCTTTCCTGCGGTCGTTATTGGCGATGAGGACGCCTTCACGCTACGCTAATACTAGTTAAGCCCGGGTACCTGGGAGTTAGAGGCTGCAGTGGAATGGCAAATGTTTTCATTTAATACTGCAACTGCCCCTGTGAGCAATTTGAAGCTACAGGACGACTCTGCGGTGTGTAAGTGTGATTATGGTGTGTATGCACAGTTTTTCACAGTCAAACGTTGGGAAATGTTTTTCTTATGGAATGAATTTCTAATGCGACGTTTGACATGAAAAGTACACAAAGTCAGTAAAAACACAGGAAATTCTCAGACAACAGAAAATAAACTCGACAGGAAGCTGTTAAAAAGGTTGAAATGTGTTGCATTTTTGCCAGTTCATATTCAGTTGTTTAGTCCTAACTAAACCTGTAGTTAGGACTCTCATGACCAAAGTATTGCAAAAAGCATCTCATGGGCCTGGAGAGCTCATAATCCAGAAGAGAAATCACATAATTTCATCATCAACTACTTGTTTTCTGGATGAGGAGTCAAAACAAGAACCAGAGAAGATGTTCAAAAGCCAAGGACCAACAACAAGCAGAAACTGTTTTTTAATTTAATGACAGCCTCCTCTATGCTTTGTCACTGCACTAGACTCCACGGTTTAAGAAAAACCACACTGAACCTTTGGAAAAATGTATACAACTCAAACACAGTCTTCTGACGGGAGACTGTTTGGACATCACTGCTCACAACTCGCAGAGAGGACAAATGGACACCAACCCACAACAACTTCAAAGTTTGAGGTGAGAACATCCAGTCAGGATGTTTGTCTCGCATGTCTTATTAGAACACTTCCTGTCGTCGAACGTTTGACACTAAAGTGGTTTTAGACAGTGGTTGATGCCAATCAATAAAAGTTAGACAGATTAACCCTGAAAGAATGGGTCAACATCACACTAGTTTATCCAGGACACATCTTCACGCTGTAATTATCAAAGGTCATTAAGCGTATTCAAGACTTCATCCCTTTATCATTCCTCTTTATTACACATATGTTTGTTTGGTTTTAATTATGAGAATGGCAATTTTGTGAAGATTTTATGTGAACAGCCTCATTTGAAACACAGAGGAACGCGTTGATGGGGGATAGAGCTATAAAAGTATCGAGACCACCTGCTGTTGTGAAAGTAAATGATAATTTATTCACAGCTCTGTTTTAATTCTTTCTGTGTGACTTCTAATGGAACAACTTCAGTTATTAGGGAATATGCACAAAGCATTCCTAACCGACGGTAAATCTGCAGGACCTGTGATTTGTTTACAGTGCGCCTTAAAGCTGTTGAACACGGAGCCAGGAGAGCGCTATCTTTCTCTGGCCTCGGAGCTCGTTCCCTCATGGCCGCGCAGTTTCCATTATTAAGCAGGAGGAGATAGAAAGAACTTTTCCACGCTGCTGCAGCTAATTGCTCTGAAACAGGGGGAATCTGTTTATGGGCGCAACTTTGATCAGTGTGCGGATGCTTTAATAACCTTTAATTTTATTTGCTCACCCCCATCATTCCCAGTCTAATTTAAAAAAAAAAAACTTTTTCCTTCTTTAATATAAATAAGAACTTGATTTTTCTCTCTCCATGTTATTTTGAGGAAATCCGGTGATACAGTAATAGTAAATGGCAGGGTGGTTTCAGTGGGACTGGCCAATTGCACACAGCATGCATGCTGATAAGACCACTGGTATTATTCCTGATTTCCCAGTATGTGATTCCAGGCTGGTACTCGTGTCAAAGCAGATACATTTCTGTATTTAAAAAAAACAAATACCTGCACAAGTTTCAGGATTGTAAACTATCAGAATACCTTCAAGAAGATAACTCAACAAGGAGTATGGCTGATGTTGATTGTTCCCATTCACATGGGTCAAAACTGGGTCAAAAATTTGGAGTAAGTCCACAGAAAATGGGAAGTAAAACATCCAGGTACAACATGGAAGACATCAAAACTTCAGGATAGAAAACTCAAAGTCAAAATGAAATAAAACGAGAACAAAGAGGCAGAAACGGCAGTCGAGATGCATTTCTAATTTACTGCAGGTATAAATTTCTGCAGTGAAAATCCAGAAGTAGACGAGTCCATCAGGGATTAAATGCTGAGGCAAAATAAGCAGAGCAGAAATGAGGCGCACTTCCATGTTTACTCATCTGCTCAGTGGTTAAGGCATGTTATCAAGCTGACTGTAATTGATTACCAAAGAAAATATGATGCAAAACTGAACAGGGCCGCTGCTGTATGCAGCAGATATATGTCTACACTTAAAAAATGCAATTTCTCAATTAGCAGCACAACCAAATCAAGGAACATACTTTCATATATTAATTTAAATCCAGAGACACTTTTTTCACCCAGAAGGGCAATTAAATGTTGTCAAAAACTCAAATCATCCAAGTATCTTCAGAGTCGTAGATGGTGATGCTGTTGGCAGAAAGAAGCCCAGTAGCAGTCAGACCTGCAACGCTTCTAAAGAGGCCTCTGACTGAAGGTGGTTACTGTACGACAGGCTCATGACTGTCACAAACAACTACATTTCTGGGAAGCAGAGATGATATTTCACTGTAACATGTTCTGGATTACACCGTCTGCTAATCCACCTCATTTGCTTTTGTCACTCTTTAAATCTGCTTCATTGTGCAATTAGGAAGTCAATCAGAAACGTCAAAGTCTTGTTCTCCTCTCTGGTTTTGGTCCTGTTCTTCATCTATGAAGCCTCGTTTTCAACTCCTCTGGGTTTAGGGGTCAGAGTTCAGGTATTATTAAGATGCAAAGCACCTTCCTCCAGTTATAAACAAAAAACAACAACAAAACACCTTGTCACAGTTATAAATCTTCACTGTCAAAAGCTAAAAAGAAAAAATATTTCTAAATAAATAGAAAATAATTGTCAAAAATAAAACTCCTTAACCAAAGTCTTCAAACGGATCAATCAGAACAAACGTTACAGTCAAACATGCTAATTATTGTGCATTTACCATTAATATAGTCTAAAACTGCAGAGCTCATACAAAAACAAAAAAAGAAGGTTTGATGGTTTGATAGCATTTTCAGTTTCAAGACAAATACTGAAGAGTTCTGCTTAAAAAATTATATTTTAATTTTCTTCATTTGGTAAAAGCAGTAAGTTTGGTTCTGATAAAGTCTCCATAACTGGGTTGCTGAAGAGTGACGAGAAAATCCATTTGTCAGACATAGAGAGGCCTAACTATCTGCTGAAACCTTCCCACAAGCGACAGCAGCAACAGTTTCTACTCTCAGTCCTGCACAGAACAAAATGGGGAGCAAAATCAACACTTGAGCCTCTTTCCAAAAAGGCAACAACACAGCAGGGAAGCTACAGGAAGATCCCTAACAAGCTCAAAATGCAATGAGACTGTGTGCCGATCCCCACTGACTTGTTAGGGCCCTGATTTCCTCACACTAATGGGAGTTTTTAAATCATTTTCTATTGTCTCTCATTCAGGCTAGCATCACCCCAGTGGGTTTAATGGCTGTTTAAGAATGTGGCTTAATGCCAAATGAATGCCAAGATCATAACACGGAGTGAGTGGCTGCTGCCATGGAAGGTTCTGACTGAAAAGGGCAAAGCTGCCTAATATATCAATATCACATCAAAGCAGTTTGGAAATACAGAAACACTGACAGCAAACCCTAAAACCTTCCATACACATAAATAAAAAACAGAGAAAAGTAATGTTTTACTTTCACTTCATCAGAGATAATGTTCACTCTTAACCATTTCTGTGATAACCTGCTAAAACGTGCAGCGGCAGTGTTCCTGGTGTTGACGTTTCCCCTACGTCTCCGTCTCAGACACATGCTCAGAGCTGCAGTGAGCCAACATGAGCCGAGTCAAGCCCAGGGCTGAACGTGCTTCTCTCGCTGGCTGCACTTTCACACGGGCTCACATTGCACCGCTGTTTTCTTTAATTAACCCGGAGAGAAAACAGCTGACAAAGTTAACACTTGGCTCCCTCGTGGCCACCAAATATACACATCTTTACCTACACTTTAAATGGTCTCTGTGACGACGGGTTGCAGGGAGAAAAGGAAAAAAGTGATAAAAGACATGGAGCCAAAAGAGAAAATGAGAGCATATGTTAATGACATTTTGCAGAATATTTTCCACTTTTGTGTAAAATAAATCCTGTGGTTTCTGCTGGAGATAACAGGTTGAAGCAGGAAATGGTCGTCTACCCTCCTTCCCCCGCCCTCCACAGGCCTTCTCAAACACCTTGCACCCCCAGGACCAGACACCTCCAGCCTCTGGCTCTCACATCTTAATGAACGCTGAGGGAGGAGAGACGCAGAAGCACACATACGCTCGGCACAAAACGCACCAAATTGACTGGCCTTAAAACCTCTGAGCTTTTCAAAGGCAAGAGGAAGAATTCCTCCTACTCTTCTAAATCCAGCACTCCAGTCTTGTCAGACAGCATGTGGAGAGAAATGGGCCCTAAGACAATTTGTGAAGGTTTCAGGGAGCTTTCAGCTTGAGGTAGAGTGAGTTAGGTGTTTCTGCTGGGTTGAACCAGAAGTCATTCTTGTTGCGTTGTGTTGTGTTAATGTTTCTGTCACCTCTGGGTAATGAGACCTTCCAGATGCTAAGGTGAACTTCGTACTCACAAGCCATGTGATTTCTCCATCTCTTTCATCTGATCTCGGATGGTCTTATAGTTGGTTTGGACCAGGCGAAGACGTTCACGGCGTTTTTCATGAGCTTTCTTTAGCTCCTCGTTCTCGCCGGTCTGCAAACAGAAAGAACAAAACAGTCTGCTGCTTTCAGGAATATAAAAACAGCAAAGGTGGCTTAGCTTTCCATTTGAACCATGTGCATAAACTCCGGGAAGTATTTAACTGTTTTACATCTTGGCTCATTTCAACCACAAACAGGGATTTAATGTTACAGAGCAACAATAAATGGCTCTAAGGTCCAAAAAATAAAACTCTTTCTTCGTTGTCTACGTCTTATTTGACCAGAAACACATAAAGCCAAGTACAAAGTCAGCCTTTTATCACCTGATGACATTTCCAGGATTAAAGGACTAATGTCGCAGCAAAATCTAAAGAAAGTCAGCTATGAGTTTTTCTTTAGTTGCATTGATTACTGCAATATTGTCTTTACAGGTCTACCTGAAGAATCAATCAGACAGCTGCTGCTGACCCAGAATGAATGTGAATGCCAAGCGGACCAAAGACCTCTCCAAAAACTAGAAGTGGACTGTAATGTAAGGCAATATGGGTAAATACAATCAAAATAAACGCACCAGACCAGCACTGGCGAAAGATACAGCTCATGGTTTTACAGGAAATGTCAGAAATCCCCCAGCTGCTAAAATCAAATGCCACTACATGTTTGTTTAGGTTTCCTAATGAAGGAAGTTGCACTCAGTGTCTTTTTTCAGAGGCTTTTCTGTAGTTTCTTTGAATAGCTCTTGGTGCAGTGCCCCCACAGGTGAGGAGGGGAACAGGTTTCTGAAGTGCAGTGTAATGCAAAATGCAGCAGCTGAAAATATGACAAGAGTTGCAGTTTTGGTCCCCAATCGAACCGACTCTCCCAAACTATCAGGCCAAAAACCTGTCGTTTAAGGGGGTTTTAAGAAGAGGAACTAAAGCAAGGCTGGTATGCGCACTTTAAACAATCAGAGAAATGTAGTGGAGTTACAAGCTGATGCCCTGGAAGGGCAGCAGTTCTGATGCTGACATTGTTGTTGACAGCTATTAAAATCGCTCCAAGTTCGGGCTACTGCGCTGCAGAAGGAGCGTGAGAAGACAACGTATGGATTTTTCTTGTCAGCGTTCCCCCTCCTCCCCATCACGCTGACCTTAACAACGAGGGCAACCGAGAAAATACTTTCAGCCTACATGACAGAGCTGAGGGGAGAGAAAAGGAGCGGAGAAAGTCGGCTCATAAAAGTGGAGGAAAGAGTAAGACGGAAAACAGAGAAATTAGAAACGGAAGAGGGAGAGAGAAAAGGAAAAGTGAGGAGGAGTGCAGGACAGGTTTCTGCTTGAGTGGCCAGGGCTGGCGAGAGTTGTCGAGAGCTTTCTGAAGGGAAAGGAGCTTGTTTACTGCTGATATGACACGGCTACCCTGCAGAGAGGGAAATGCAAGCCCTCAGCCCTGTTATTATTAACAAGGACAAAGAGAACAGAGAGAGCACACAAACATGCACCGGACACACAACAACATGCAATGTGCATCTACGCTGACAATGTGACAAGTATGGATTTTCCCCCAGTGTGGATTATTCACAAAGGACATCTGCCCCCCCGCTTTCAAAAACAAGGCTCTAATGAAAGGGGCCAGGCCGGAGCACTGCGGGGCTGGGAGTAAGCAAGTGGCAGGGCATTAGCCACATCATGGCTTCCCAGGCTCCTAACTGAACTCCCCCGGGCCGCTGCGCTCTGGTCATCAGACCCTCGCCCTCCGATCGATACACACCCGTGGACGATCAAGCCGAAAAATAATTACACTCAAACAAGTACTTTTCACTTTAAACTGAACTGAAGGAAAGGAGACATAAAAAAACGAAGCCAGTGTTAAGAGAAATGTTTGTTTGTCTCCTGTTAATAACCGGGGTCGACGCGTCGGCGCTCGGATCCGGTGCGAAAAGGCGTTCTGTAAATGAGAAATGTGAAAAGAGCCGACACAATACCAGCTAAAAGGACAAAACCTCTTAATCCCACCCTGAACTAATGCCCTCATTAATGCGGTTACATTTTTCTGTGCATGCCTTCACTAAACGCTCTTCAACTGGTCGACAACTAAATGGCACCATTAACCAACACAGTCATGCATGCTGGCTGAATTTACATCGGGCATTAGCTGTCTGCTGGTGATGTAATTCAGGTGCTTCTCATCTGACAAGGAAATGATGCCTGATGTATTTCTGAGGATTGTGCTCAGAGCAAAGACGACCTTTGTTTAATCAGTCAGTCACTGGCCAGCTGCGGAGGGGGAGAGGATGAAGAACCAGAAAGTTCAAAATAAAACAGGGAAACGTCCTGTGCTGCATTTACAAGTACAAAAATCAAACTGTTAAACTGCAAAAGACAAAAACTTAGTATAACAGTTGATGAGAGGAAGAACTGAAGGTTAAGAAACCAATAATTTGCTAAAGGAGGATAAAAACATACTGCTGCTTCTACTTTTACTGAATGAGTTTTTCTCTTCTCATCTCCCTGCCTAAACACCGTCACTCTGAAACGATTAATCGGATTAATTGTGATTAACCGATTACTGAAATAATTGCAAACTAGTTTAATAAATCATTAATTGTTGACTGGAGTATACAGACTCTAAAACATCCCATTTACTGAAATCACTGCAATTAAACCAAAACTGTATAAAAATATATGTATTTTGCATTTAAGAGAAGAAAAAAATTCCTCTGTAAATATGTTCTACTGAGAACTAATCAAGTGTCAGTTGTAGCTTTACCCGATTCAAATTCTGCGAAAACAAATCTTTTAATCACCTTTCGATATCCAGTTATCAATTGTTTAATCCAGAAACCATTAGCCTTACACTGTATTGATGTTAAGATAAGCAATAAGAGCTACATTTTGCACATGCTTATGTAGATTTTGCATGAATTTCTGCAATCACGGAAAAACAAAAAATTGGAGCAACTGACTGATGTACTTTGGTTGTAAACAGATAAAAACTGCTTTGACTTGATTTATAGAATAATATTTAAGCACACAACAGCTAGAAGCAGGTAATTATTACATTGTTTAAAATTTATTGTGATAAATATCTTGTGATAAGATTTTGATTTGTTGTCAAAACAAATTCTAGTTAATGTTTAAAAAATGGACTAAAAGGTCTTTTCACAAAGTTCTCCACAATTTTTTCAATGAAAGCATCAATATATCAGTGAAATCAAAAATATGATAAAATAAAGTCTCTATATGCAGTTTAGAAATATAAAAAAAATCATAAATGTTTAAATCCTGAAAATAAGCTTATTTAAAATAGGAATATTTTCAAGAGCAACATTATGTTTATGGGGTATGAATTCTGTCAATAGTTTTTTTCAATCATTTAAATTTTTTTTATCATTATCACAACAGCACTCTAAAATATTGTGATAAAAGTCCATGTTGCCTGAACCCAACAACAGTTTTCTTTATTGCTGCCCTGAAACACAGAGTTCCTTTAAATCAAAGCTAAACCTGTTCAAAGAGCTGCTTTCAACCCATAATCAATGGATCATTGACCAACATATTTGATGTGTATTGATGATTGTGATTATGGAACTTGACAAAATGTAATGTTACTGGTTTCTCAAACTGGCGACTGGCTTTTTTATGGCTTTTGATTTTTATGTTTTTGTGATGTAAAGCACTTTGAATTACCTTGTTGCTAAAATGTTCTTTACAAGTGAACTTGATTGATTAAAGAGCCGCCATATAAGAAGCTCCCCCTTCCTCACTAAAAAGATAAGTTGTGTGTTTTAATGGCTCATTGTTGCTCTCTGAAGCTGAGCCAGGAGCGACTCTTTGAGAATAGGGCTCTGAAAGTTAAATTTTACTCCGTTCTTTCTGGCAGAACTCGTAAAGCTCTGGGACCGGCGGTGAACTGCGCTTTTCAAGTCCTGCCACCAAGTGTGGATGGGAAAAGGACTGAAGGCTCTCAGTCAGTGACTTGATGCATTCTGTTGAGTTTCCTTCGTTCGCTGGTAAAGATCCTAAAATAGATTTTTTAGTTTTTTTTCTGTTTTAATAATTCCCTGCTATGTGTCAACACAGCACTGGTTCATCCCCTGCGTTTAGGAGCGCTTTATGCCTCCGGACTTTTTGCACAGAGCTGCTTGTGCTAAAATATTTAGTCAGTGGTTACCTTGAGTTGCAGCAGCTCCTCCAGGTCTCGAATTCTTTGTTCTGCTTCGATCCTCCTCCCACTTCCCAACCTCACGCTGCCGGCTGGGGACAGAGACCTGGACCGCTGCACAGGTGCACCCTGGGAGAAGGCGAGCACAGGAAGCAGTGAGCTGAAAACTTCACTTACAAAGACATCCACCAACCCATGCAGCAATTAACATGTGTGGAAACGCTGAGTGAATGCCAATAACAGAATCATCTGCGTTCATCCCGTTCCCTTCTCACCTCGAGGAAAAGGCGAACATCGCCCGGCGCCCGTAATGCACACACGCACAAACAAATACGCTGCCAGAGGAGCGAGGGGAGCCGGTGCAGCAGTCGGCGCACATCTGTGTGTGTGTCTGCGTGTTTGGAGGCAGCAGTTGCAAGCTGAGAGCGGCGAAGGTTTCTCCCTGCAACTGGCTAATGAGTATGTTCATTTCCATTTACATTGTTTCTTTGACAATAATGATGTCCCATTAGGGGAGACTAAAGGGGCTATAGATTCCAGAATGTGCTGGGCTTCATTACAAGAGGTGGGCAGGGAGGCCGCTCTAATTGCTCTACGAGGGGCCTCCAGGTTACACTTGATAGGACAACTGGAAGAGCTGCCGATTAGGAGCGGGGGTGCGGTTCACTAGCCAGTCTCTTCTGCAGAAATAAATAAAGAAATGGAGAAGTGCTGGGGCTGTGCTGTACAAAAGCAGTGGGAACAATATGCTAGTGGAATATGAATATGAGAGGATGGGAGGCCCCATGCGGTGCCAAGGAGGGCTGACCAGATGGCAGGCTAAAATATGCAATGCGACTAAATGCCCAACAGTCCTTGGGCAGAAGAGGATGAGGAGCAGAGGAGAAAGTGAGGAGGTTAAGGATGAGATTGTGTACAAGTTCAACGCGTCGGCCAGAATCGAGTTTAAATCAACGCTTCGAAGTTCTTAAAGTCACTGAGCAGAAAGAGGAAGTGGTCTCTTCATCATCACTGTAGTGGTGAAATAAGCAGCCAGCAAATGTTTTCAAACCTCCAAGTTCTTCCAATTTTTCCAAGTTATGTCAACAAATTTCAAAGGAGCAACATTATGTAAAATCAACTTTTTTGAGCATGTTATAATATTATTGCCTCATCAAAAGCACATCTGAAGTGATTCTTTCATGCATGTTTAAGAAAACCAATAATCTCAGTTGTGTAAAATGCCTGGGTGGACCTAGCCCCACCTTCAAGGTGCAGTGCCTCCTCAGAGATGCCGTTTCCATAAAAGAAAATCTTTTGAACCGGTTTGAATAATCACCTGAACTTGACTACATTGTTTGATATGGAACGCATGCTACAAGTTGGTAAAAGGCTGAACTGACTACAAATCTAATACGTAACTAAGAAAATTGTAGATTTTAGGTGAAAATTGTCCAAACTGATTTGTCAAAAACAAGACTGTATTTGAAATCAGATGTTACTATTTGAGCATTTATTTTTGAAATATCTTTGTATATCGCTGATTTTCACATATACATAATGTTTGGGAATGTGCCTGGAAGTTGACTCTGGTGACCTGCAGTGCCAGGTTCTGCGAACATGCCTGCGTGGGTACCAACCATGTGTTCTGACTCGGCCTTAATGACTTCATGCAACCAATTAGCAGATTGATCTGCATATTCCTGACAAGTGGCGGGCCAACTGGCTTAGCCTTCAAGTACAACAGGGAAAACACAGACGCCAGAAAAGAAAATCCAAACCTAATCTTTAAAGAGGAGATGACCAATTATAAAGTCTAGGAGAGTTTTTATGCAGCGTGAAAAGTCTTTGACCCTGTACAGATATCGTTTGACTTTGCTTTTCAGTTACATGTTTCAGAACAAAGAAATTGTATTTTCAGACAGAGAACTGGAGTAAATACAAAAAACTGTTTTTAAGTAATGGTGTAAGTTAAGAGCCAACCAGTGTTTAGTGGCGTCTTTGCTAAATTGTTTTATTTTATTCAACATTTGAGGGGATTTTGCTTAAAATCGGTCCATTGCATCTCCATTGGCTTTAAAACTTTGACTAAACCGCTTCCTTTTATCATTCTGAGAGCGCATGGCAGAGAGGAGAATTCATCGTTTCATCTTCTGTTCAGTCTTTGAATGTTACTACATATTTTAAAAAAAAACTTACAGAAAAACAAACAAACAAAAATCTCCAAAATACTTTTGTAAGATTGAAAAAAAAATGTTTCTATATTCGGGGCTTTCAGCGTGCAACAATGAAGCCATCATTGAAAACCTTTTGCAAGAAGTTGTTTTTTTCTGACCTTAAAATGTGATGATTTGAAATCTTTAAATGTGATAAAATAATAAAAATGAAAAACGGCACTGAAACGCTTCAGCAGGTTTGCTGAAAAATGACAGGGCAGCACTGATGGGTGACTGAGCTGTGATGCTTTGAGCTCCACAAGACGGACAGGAAGAGAAAAAAGGTCTGGCCACTGTTCTTCAGATAAACATTGGTTCTGGTCATGACCTGACCCGGGCTTAGAACCGGGTAACGGATGCATAAACAACACAGGGTCACGCAGATCAATCTGTGTGGGGCGAACAATGAAGAAACAAGGAAAAAAGATTTAAAGCTAAACAGTTTACAAGCAAGCAGAGGTGAAGCTGTTCTTCAGAAGGGCTCAGTGTCACTGGAGATGAAACATTTTATCAACTTCCTTTCTTTACGCTCCCTCTTTCTCTCTCCAGCTTTCAGAAACTCGGGTCACCGTCATCTGCGGACTTCTTTATGTCTGCAGCAGCATGTCATGGGTCAGTGGGGAGCACTTAAAATAGTTCTGTTCTCTCAGGGAATGTAAAAGTTGTATAAATGTGCACAAAAGTAATACAAATGAATGAAAAGCACAAATCTATTCACAAAGCAAAGTCACAAGAGAAAGTAGAAGGATTTATGAAAACGTTACAGGAAATCTCACTAAAATACAATCTCTTCTGATTGAAAGCAGTTATAGTAAATTAAAATATCATCTTCGTGCCAGAGTTCCTACAGATCAGATGTGTAGGAGTTTCCAGCAGAACCTTTTAGGAGAAGCAGTATCATTATACTCCACATGTAAAAACAAGCAGAGAGGTGCTTCATTTAAGACATAATGAGGACATGTGAATAAATCAGGCACTGTTTCTTAAGGCCATCCATTAGTGAGTGAGGCCATCTAGAAACTTGTCCTGCCAAACTTATGAAAGGGATACTGAGAAGATCAAAAGCTTTTCTTCTCGCTCATAATGTTCGGCTGAAGCGGTAAATTAGCTGGTGTCTGAGCCCAAGGCATGCGTGAAACCAGCAGCACACGCCGGCCTGGTCACAGTAGGAGGGGCCTCCGAGTGTGTGTGTGTGTGTGTGTGTGTGTGTGTGTGTGTGTGTGTGTGTGTGTGTGTGCGTGCGTGCGTGCGTGCGTGCGTGCGTGCGTGCGTGCGTGCGTCCGTGCGTCCGTGTGCGTGCGTGCGTGTTGGGAAGTCCGGGACAAAGGTTGTCCTGGACTGGATCTGATGTCTGATGAATCACATGGCTCTGTCTCAATAGACTGTTCTCTTTCCATCCCTCCGCTACGGCTTTGATCTAATCAGAGCGAATGGAGTGGGCACGCTCACCCACGTGCTGCCTTTGCTGTAATTGCCGGTGGTGTTCGTTTGCCTACCTGCAGTCTTTTCACACTGCTGGGGGATTGCTGAGGGAGACGTCTGTCCTCTGGCTTTGGATCTGAACTCTGAGTGGAGGCCCGATCGGACGGAGCAGCGGCGAATTGCTGGAAGAAAACAGAGGCTGTGACCTTTATATTAGCAAAACAAACATTCAGACAGGCAGTTTCAACTTGTTTTTAATAAAAAATTAAATACTGGAAACTAAAACAAAGTCAGAGAGAAATGTTCTTGGATCACATGGTAAGATATTTGTCCCGATTTTTCACTTCCGACATTCTTAAAATCTCTCCGACTATTGTGACAGTCCGACAGATAATCTTAAGAGATTTTTCTGTTGCGTCTTAAAAGTGATCTGGTCCACTCAGAACGACATCAGGACCATTTCGATATAAAATCGGGGCTTATCAATATGTTGGATTGGCATTGTTCCCCTGTTGAATGTGACACGAAGCCAATCAGAAAGACAGAACTACTGCCTCAAAAGCCCGGTCGACATTGCAGACATCTTTGTATTGTTTGTTCTTTGTTCTGTTAAACTATCGCCATTGTTTCTTCCCAGTTGGCCATGTTTGATTTCTCTGAAATCGCGCTTGATCTTGAGAGGTTTTGCAATAAATGCTGGTGAGTGAAATCTGTGTTTTTCTCACTCCCGTATACGCCATGCCCTAAACGTCCTCCCAAATTTCACCTGAAGCGTCACCAAAAGCTCTCATTGATGTAATCAGGTGATGAAAATTGTGCCATTTGGTCTGTAGGGAGGTGTTCTCCTCCTCTTCTTGGATCACACTATTTCACAGAGCTCTGTCCAAAGTGTGTGATTGGTCAGAAACCTGTGGACATGTTTTATGCTGAAATTTGTTCGGACAGTAACGTCGACATTTCACTTCAACTACTCCACTTCCACTATCTGGTGACCCAGACAGCAACAAAAAACTGGTTTGCATCTAGACTTTTGTACACTTGTAAGTCTCCTCTGGTGTAAGAGGAAACAACATTTATGGCATAATTTTATGACCCGTAAATTCAGGCAAAGTCAATTTGATTAAATCAACAAACATGTCAACGGGGAAATGCTATGGATTGCTTTCTAAGCTAGCTACTTCCAGGTTGAGTAAAAACTGCTGCCTGTCAGCCACAAGTAGGTGTGCAACTTTCACAGTCTGTTGAGAGCACCTTCACCAGAGTTTATTGCTGCGACTGCACCACCATGCTGCTCAATTTGGTTACAAAAAAATCTAACCAGTTTTACAAATTTTTATTCTACGTTAATGTTTGACAAAGTTTGTTGATTTTTTAAAACATTTTTCTACGTTTATTCATGTAAATAGAGTCCGTACGCCATCATCTAGAAATATTAACATCTGTTTTTTTCTTCAGCGTTTGATTAAAAAAAAAAAGTGTGACAGCCATAAACGAAAATGTAAGTTTATAGACAAACAAAAGCATTCATAACGTGCTATAGTTGGTCGTGAAGAAAGCTGTGCAGGATGTCATCACCTTTTCCCTCCAACAAGTCCTTATTGTATTATCAGAAACCTGGCATCTGGGCGTGACCTTGTTAACTGCCAGGGTAATCAACTTTAACCAAATGGGAGGAGAGGGGATGATAAATTATTAGTGAGGAAGATTTTGTTCATGTTTTATTAAATTGGCCTGTCAAAGGGGGCTGGTCAAATTATCTTGGGCCTCGTTTATTGGAGGCCGGCCATATTGGCGCATCTGTTACAATTATTTATAATTTCCAGGCAGGCAGCAGGACCAAGTGGGTTTTTTTCAGCATCAGCCACATAAAGCAATTTAGAAATTAACTAATGTGGGAGTGTCTGACTTTTCCTCAGTCAATCTTTCTTCACGTGCTGATTTTGAAACTTAACTGAGGAAGTGGGGGAGGGAGAGACATAAAAAGGGAAAATACAAACACAATCCAACTATCAGACAGGGGAGATGATGTGATTGAAAGGAAAAGAAGAGAATATGCAGGTGCAAGGCGGAAAAAAAGGACTGAAGAGGAGGATGAGTGTGAGAGAAAACGCCGGTCTCGGTAATTACTGAACACGATTAGGTTCTTGGGGGATCTTGTCTGGCACTCGCGGCCCTCGCTGGTGAGGCTGCGGCAAGCGAGACCATATGGAGCGAGGCTGGTGATTGTGCTCCCTGAAGCTCGTGACCCGTCTGCTGCCGAGCCCCTGAGCTGAATCCGAAATGAGACTTGCCAGGCCTAATGTTCTACACATGCACCATTTATGCCACAAAACAAATCTGATCACTGTTAATTATGGAGCAGCTATAATCAGGAGGTAAACCCATCTCCCTGCACCGCACACACACACACACACGCACGCACACACACACACACATTTGCTCCATCAGCTCTGCAGAAATGAGCGGAGTGACAGTAGAGATCGGATGGACCTGAGGAGTGAGGGCGACGGGGTTCCTGCTCCCGACCAGACCCACTGCACTTCATATTCATGCTGGTGTTTCTTCAAAGAATGTGCATGTGAATAAATGTATGAGCGTCGGCGTTAACCGGTTGCGTGGTGGGAAGGGACAGCACGCGGGGCGTTGGATGTTTTCTGTGTGTACGCAGCCCGGAGTCCTCCCACGCAGTTTGTTTGACCCGCTCGGCTTTGCTTTAACGAGTGAGCGCGGCGCTCTGCGGCGGCGGCGGCAGCACATGGCTGTGCTTCATTAATGAGGCGGCCTGTGCTACACGGAGGCTCTCATCTAATGAGAGCTGTTGAGTTTGTAAAACACACCGCTGGCATCAGCGCTGTTAGTGTGTCTCCTGCTCTGGACGAAGGCCCAGCTTAAAACACACCTAAACTTCTGTTCATCACGTTATTTACTGAAACCGGGAGTTCATACAAGATTACACACTGATAAAAATAAATGAACACTAGTTAAATCTGTGCAACATAAAGTATGATTAATGTATATTATTAATTAGAACCATTATCCGGTTCTAATTATTCATTAAAGCAGATACAATATATTAATGAGATGATTACAATCATATTCTTTAGAGAAAAAAAAAGTAGTTTTGTTTTGTTGATGTTTTTGTGCTGATTCCAATCTCCTATGTCTGTAAAGTTTTGTAAGATGCACTGTAAAACCCAGTTTTGTTTATTTAACAGGTTTTATTGGCTCTAGTGGTCTTTAGATGATAGTGAACTGACAGAATCGAACCTGCGACAGCCGTGTTGAGGACTAAGGCCTCCATGTGTGGGTTGTGCTCCACCCCTGCGCCACCACAGCACTTCGATGACGCAGTTTTTATGCATTTCCCCATAGAGAGACACAAATATGAAAATTTGGACCGATAGATATCAATATTAATAATGTTGTTATGGCCGAAAACCAATGTTTACCCATATTATATATATTTCGATACAGTTTTGACATCTTTGCAAAAAAAGGAACAGACAAGTTAAAATAAATATTGGTATTTTATATATTAAAAAATTACTGATATCAGCCGTCACCGATATTAGTGATGATATATGGTGCATTCCTACTTCCCAAGTGCTTACAGTTGCCTTTCAAAGTGGTTTCCGCAACTCTCGAAAGAGAAAATCCAAGATGGCCGAATGTAACTCCAAATTTGTCATTTGTTTAAATCACACCACTCAGTGAAGCTCTTATCAAGTGACGTTAAATGACTCTAGTTTGATGTTGGCTACCTAAGGAGACAGTGGCTGATTTTCAGACTTTTACGGAGGCAGATAAGATTGGAAGATAAGATTGGTTTCACATTTAAGCATTAGTATTTATTTTCTGCTGTATACATAATTTATATCACAGTACCTTTTTTTATGGATTTATAATTCTTATTTAATTTATTGGTGAATTAAACTAGTCGTAATAAAAATGAATCTGTTTGTCTTATCGTCTTTCAAAGGAAGTAAGAACCATCTCATCACACATCAGAGAAACCTTGAAATTATTATTGGCTAGTCAAAACCTGTGTGGACCATCCAATCCTACCTATATTAAGACTTCATAAAGCATTTTTGAAACAATAATAAAATTGTAATTGGGTAAGAAATGATTTGTAGAAGCTAGTTTTCTTGGTGAACATGCCTGCTGTATTTCCTGTTGCAGGAATGGTGAGAACCTCGGAGAGATTTGAACGACTGCCCACCCTATTACCAGCGTAGCGCTCATTCAGCCTGGTGCTACATCCAAAAGGCCCAAGGTCTGTAATGGATTCTAATGTTCGTCTTTAATCACAGCTCAGACCTGTTAGCAGCCAAGAATCAGACAACTGTAAATAATTTTGATGCAGTTTGGGAGGCAGTTAGGAACTGTTCATTCAGGCCACCCATCCTTTTTATTTTTATCATGCCCCCTTAATGTCTTTACACAGCCCTCTTTGTTTCAGCAGAACTTTAAGTGTTGCTAGTCTGATTAAAGTTTTTTTTAACAGTATAATTAAAAAACAAAAAAGACAGGCAATATCTGTGCACAACATGTAAATATAATCCACAACGGGTGTTCTTCCTCTCCCTCACCCTCCTCCTCCTCCGCCGGTTTTACTGTGGGAGGGGTGTTCAAAGCAGTCGCTCTGGTGCATATTTAAATGAGCACTGCGTCTCCCGCCTGTGCTCCTGTTGTGATCACCACTTTGATCACCTCCAATGTAACTCTCGCCGAAAACATTTAAAATTAAAATGGAATCTGCCCTAACAACCTTAGCATTGGAAATTTAACAGGTGTTCGCAGGGAAGTTGTGAAAGAATCTGGGATTATGCGCTCGGATAGACGCACCTTTAGTGAGACGGGCGCCCGTACGGACCCGGGCCGGCATGCATACAATCTGTCAGTGAAATTACAGGGAGGGAAACAGAAAGCCTTCCAGACTCAGAGCTGTACCTTGGCATACCTGATATGTTTGCTTTGATGGAAGTAAAACAGAAAAAAAACAAAAAATCTAAATCAGGCTGACAGCATGTCTAAACTGTTACTAGCTCACAATTATGAACTAGATATTTTAACTAATTTATTACAAAAATTTGTTTTACAACAAAAACATAGAGAAGAAAATTGTTACCTGCTGAAGACCAGATAAGAGGTCGGCTGGTAATTCATTTTAAATCACAACACTGTGTGAATAAGGTGGCCAACTCAAACAGTCCGTTACAAGATTCAAACCCCGTCAACTGGTCATGCTACACCCACAGACTTATCTGAAGGAGTATTTTAATGTCTTGAAATTTGGCCCCAGTCTCCTTATAAATTCCTGCTCTTTCTGAAACTCCACCGTCACAAAGTCATCACAATATGGCTCCTCTATTAACCCTTAAGCAACCAGCATTAGACTGAGAAGTAGCTCCTATAATGAGCTCAGCAGAAGATCAGTTGCAACAGGTGTTTGCTAATTGGTGCTGGCTAGTCTGAAGGAGCCGAGTGGCCGAGGTCTGCTCTGTGAGACAGAAAAACTGCAGCTCAGAGGTGGAGTTATGCCTCAAAAGTGGAGCTAAGTCCAACCAGACGTTTCGCAAAGCTGAATAGTTGCCATGGAAATTAAATGAATTCTCAAACACGCATGAAAGAATCGAGCCAGCGCGCCAGGATTGTTTGGATGGATTTTGATGGATGGAAGAGATGGTTGAGCTTCCTCCAACTCTCACTGTTCTGCATCCATAAAGCCTCCTTTTCAACTTCTCTGGGATTGGGGGTCATAGTTCAGCTATTAGTCGAGATTTTGAGATGCCAATCAGAACATGATGCGCCCACCACCATGCATCATAGTCGTGTTCTCAATGCCATCTCGATGCCTTCTGAAGGCTACTGGTTGCACTAATTGCAACTGCTTTTGTGATTTTATGTTTGAAGTGAAAATGACTGATTTTGTGATGCTACTTCAGAAATATTTCAAGGAATTGTGCAATATTTTTCCCTATACCAACATATAAAAGAAAAAACATGAGAAAATAAGCAGAAAGGCTGAGGACAAATATTTTCATTCTTTAAAGAACTTGTGCTTTTTGTTCCTTGCCTTATCTACTGTGGATTACAACTTAATGTCAAGGGAGGCTGAGGCAGCAGCATAGTAAAAGTAAAAAATACTGCCACCTGCAGATGGGAATTAGAATCACTTAACCCAAATGTTGAAGTGAAGTGCAAAGTTTAAAGTGCAAAAAAATGTGGTGATCTGCTGAGATTCCATGATCACAGAATCTGGGATTGACTAGATTTTATTTAGAGGTATCAGAGTAAAGGTGCTAATGAGACCAAATTAGCTTCCCTGGAAACCTGTTGTACTAACATATATGTATGCCCAAGCTTACCCACCATTCATACACACATCCACACACAGAGCACTATCTGCATCTCCTCTAAATGTACTGTAGTATTAATTACTGAGGGAATGCTGCAGAACTGTATTTAATTACTGACTAAATGAACCATTTAGACTTTACTGCGGGTTTAATTAACCGGGTTAAGTGAGATACGGTGATTGTAACTCACTTAACATTTGAGCTGATATCTTTTGACTTCCACAGTCTGGGGGCAGCAATTTCAGGAAATATCAACCGATGATCAAATTAAATAATTACTGTCTGTGGAGGGAGAGATATTGCACGACTCCTGGAAAATGTTATCTTTAGCTGAGATAGGTTCAAACTGAATCAAGTTAGAGCAGATTAGGCGACGACTTCTGCAAACTGCAGTCTTCAGAAAGCTACGTGTGTGGTCTTTACCCTAACTCTGTTTATACTTATGAAAACTATGCAAAAAAAATTAAAAATAAGTAAAATAATCAGAAATTGTGCTCTGTTGTCATTGGTAGCAATGTTTAGATGTTGCAGTTTTTCATGAAGATTCTTGATTTTGACTTGAGGTTTTTTTTAGTCATTTCTGACTGCATCCTCTCCGTTTTGTGCATTAAATAAGTGTTAGCTAGCATTTAACGGTACACACAAATCTGACGTGGACAATCTCATGCAAAATTTGTACCACATAAGCTTCAGTTTATTGATTACTCCACTACTTTGCTGGAATAAGCATGAGCTAATTTTCATATTCAGATCATTCAGTTTTGGTCTGCATGAAGTTGAACTGCAATGCTTTGGTCTGGACCCTCTTTTAACCCCGATCTGACGTGTGTGGTTTTGGTGCCATCTCTTTAAATACAAATGAGGTATGACAATTTATCATGCAATTGATTATTGCGACAAACTTACCGCCATCCACAATGGCCCTAAAAAATGTTTGAATGATATGAGTGGGAAATAAAGTATTTCTGATTTGGCATTAGTAATCCTGACTCCTCCCACTGTAGTGACTACTGCGGCAAGTGAAGCTAGTGTCTTCGTTGCACCGAAACTTTAGATAAAGGATAAGAAACCCTCCCAAACTGTCAAAGTATAACAGCAGTGTTGCTAAAGCAGGTGCGCCGATCTCCATATCATTAAACGCTATTAAAGGCCTCTATCGCCTCAGGGTGACTGTTCAAAGGTGCTGAACTGAAGTCAAACTCCCGCTGACTGACAGATGTAGAATTGTAACTCTAACATCATCTTCAAGAACATTACTGGCCTCCAATTAAATCACCTCTCCACCTCTTTTCTGCACGTCTTTTCTGACCAGAGCACGTTAAAAGGACTTTAAGTTACTTGGGTGGTTTGAGATAAAGAAGATTGATAAAGTAGGTAAATCAGAGAGTCGGTGTGTGTTTGGGTCTGAGAGGGAGAGAGGATCAGATAACTGACATAAAAGACGACGGTGCAAAGGGAGACGGAGAGATCAAGGGTGAACCAGTGTAATATCAAAAGATGATTCTGAGTCATGGACCACCACTACAAGCCATGCTGGGTGAGTCGGTTCTAACAGTACACGCTAATCCACCTTACACCCGGTTCAGACGCCAGAAACCTGGATGATCTGACAATAAAACTGTTTATTAGATTCCCAAACATTTAGCCAGAGAACACCTTTGCAAAGAATATTCATTTACATACAAAATATGTAAGAAACCATCAACCTTTGAAATATTTTGCTCATTTAGCATAAATCCTGCTTCATACCTGCCTGGGCTTTTCTTAAATAATAGAATATCAACAATTATTCAAAATATAATTTTACCAAAAACATTAAGAAGACCAGAATTGATTTTTGAGCATTTTAAATTAATTCAGAATTGCTATGACAAAGAATTGTGATTCTCTAGAGAATCAATTTTCTTTAATATGGACACTCTCATAGAAAAAAGTGGAGAAAATGTAAAAAAATATGTTTTTAAAACATTAGCTAAAATTTATTGTGACGATATATCAAAAATCTTATCTTGAAAGAAATGTTCCCGATAAATGATGAACGATCTGATAAATGCCCTCCCCTGTGTCTAGCTGATGATGTTTGTGAGGGAGACAATAAACAGTCAGCCGGGAATTTACCTTGAAGTTGGTTTGTCTGTTTGGTGAGAGAGCTGCAGGCTGCATGTGCTGCTGCAGCAGCTGGATCTGTTCCTGTTGTTTCTGCAGCTGAGCCTGCAGTTCGGAGATCTGCTCGTCTTTCTGGACCACCTGGGTGCTGAGCTCCTGGTGACTCTGCCGCAGTTTAGCCTCGCTGGACACCAAAGCCTGGTAGCACTGACTCAGCTCTTTGTACAGCTGGCAGCAAACAGGAAATAGGAGACAACGGACCGTCAGTGATCAGATGTTACATAAAAGTTGACATTTATTATGGGCCAGGTTGTATTTTACTTCTGGTACTAACTGATACATGAGGTAAAATCTGGAGAATCGAGGATTGAAACACATAAAACAGAGAAAGACTGCGCTAAACGGCGTCCTAGTGATGCAGGCAGCAGGTACTGGGCTGTTAAAATGGCCGACTAGAGAAACCAGTCTTAAACCAGTCACCCAGGACCAGGCAAGTCACAATAAACAATATTGCTGGAACATTGAACAATGCAACTGGAAGACATTTTAAATATTCAAACAAACAAAACGACAAAAATAACAAATAAAATGAATGATGAAGTCTCTGTAAACAATAAAAAGAGCTAACTGAGACCAAAGAGCCAGACTGAAGACTTTAGTAATCTAGGTAGAAAGAGAGAAAAGATAAATCAAATGGAAACTATTGAGCTTGTTCTAATTTATTATGATTAACTGATTTATTGCTCATTGCGATAGGCCTATCCAGCACATGAGAATCCTAAGAGCTGAAACAAAATGTTCTGATCTCGGCTTAATGGGGCCATATTGTACATTTTGTCCATTTGGTACAGTTGAAACTTTATAGCTCCCTTTGTGGGATTTTCATTTTCGAGAAGTTATATAAAATATCTAAGTTAATAAATATTAACTTTCCTGTTGATCCAAAGTTACCTCTTCTGCTAAATGATTGCAGTGTTGCAATGATGAAGTAGCAGTGTTTTACTAAGGCATGTAAAACACTCAAAATTATGTTATTTTCAGCTAAACGGAGGTATTATTCCTACAGAGTTCTGCTGCATGGTGAAATATGCCACACTGACTCTGTGGAGATAAATGAGAGCTGGATGCTGTGGAAGATGGTTTCATTGTAAGGTCAAATCTCTGAGATGAAGAAACACGATGATCCCATCAGATGGAATACAACATTCTCAAAAAAAAACCCTACAAATTTCTGCATCACAGGCACTCCTTACAACAAAAACAAGATAATGAGAACTGAAAACGGGTTCATATTTCAGCACAGCCATCCTGAAAGTTCGTCAAATTTATGATCAGGATATTTAAGTACAAACCGTATTCTCATTAAATCATATTCGGATGTAATTGGAGGTTGCATAGAAAGTCAGAGGGGTGTGAATACCCCTTGGTAGGAAGTGGCGTCGGCCGTGTGCGCCTCCTCCTGGTTCCTCAGGACCCTCTGGGTGTCCAGGTTGAGTCCCTCGAGCTGCTTGATCAGGTGGCTCTGTTCAGCTGCGTGCGCCGTGCTTTGTTTGTACAGACCCTGGACTTCAGCAAAATCACGCCTGCAGACACAAAACGTCACACCGTCAAACTGGATCACTAATGTTACCTCTGCCTGCTTCATGCAGGAGTTACAGGTCAAGGTTTGCAACTTAATGCAGGAATTCTCAATCTTTAATCACATGATGGCCCCCAAACAGCATTGGCCCACAGACAATGCTCTGAAAAATGTTACTTTGTCTTCTCACTTTTATTTACTATTCAATGATTATTACATTTAATGAGCATAAATGTTTCCTCATCCCTTCTGATTTTAGTTGGTGAGGAGTTCTGCAGTGGATCATTTTTATCAGGAAATAATATGTTGTTGAATATATTATCAGATAAACTTTATCATACAATATACTGTATGTAATAGTTGCATAGTAACTCCATGAAATTTGATTTAATCTCCACAGTTTAGTTTTTAGCAGCAGGAACATTCCTTCTGTCTTTTTCTTGTCAGAAACTTTTCCATTTCAGCAAGACTTTATGACTTTAACTGGCAGCCAGCAAGAGAGAAGGACAGAAAGAGGGGAAAGTCACGTTTCCCTGAATTTCCCCTCTTTAGGAGAAGAAAGGCAATTTCTATCCTCCATCTTCAATAAATTACTTTTACTTACATTTTAATAAAATTACATTTCTAAAAACATTTAGATATTTGATTTTTTTCAACTTCTCTCAAACTTTTTGAGGCCCTAAATGTATAAAACCGTCTTAATGAGTTAAACGTTTATTAAACTTAACATTGGTTTCTTGCTTATTGATTTAAAACATAATTCAGAGTAAGAGACAAATTTGATAACATATGTGAATATGTTTTTATAGCAGTCCTTGGGTTTCTTCACGCAGCACCGCTGATGAGCTGTGAATCATTCTGGATACTAATGAGGTCAGCAGAAGACCTCATGCCTCATGCAAACACCAGAATGTGACTGACATGTCAGGGTGCCTCTGGCATTAAAACTGAGAAGCAGTGAAAAGAAAAAAAAGACAGAGATTACCATTAAAGCTCCTACAGTTCTGTCAGTTTCTATAATATCGACTAAAGCTTAGTGAAAGCCTGCCCTGTTTCCCTTCTTCCCTCCTTTAAAGTACATCCACTATGCAGGGCTTATCAAATGGCTTTAGGTGAGCCGGAGATGAAGGAATGTGTGTCACCCCCAAACCTCACAGCATATATGCTCCATTTACACTACACCTACTTTACCTGATAAAATTACCCATCAGACTACCTCTAGTGGCGCCTTGGTTCACAACATCAGACGGTTTTTTTCAGCCGATTTCAACTCACTGTATTTGCTCAAGTCGATCTTGTTTTTCAACTAACTCCGTCTCTTTGGAAGAAAGCTTTGCAGCCAAAACGGCGCTTTGCGCCTTCACTTTAGGAAGCTCCTGACAAACACACTGCAGCTCCTTCTCCAGAGCCTGGTGGAGGAGAGAAAAATGCATTTTAAAAACTTTTTCCAACTTAGAAACCTGATAGTTATTAGCACACTTTTTGTATCTGTTACATAATCTATCCGTAATTAGGGTTTCTACAAGTTGAGTAAAGTTTTTAAGTCTTTTATTGAACAATATGATGGCTGAACAAAGGGGTAAAAGTCTACAAGTAAAGAGAGAAATAAAGAGGAAAAAAGTTTAAAAGAAAAAATAAGAGGAGAAAAACATAAAACTGAAGAGTTTTGTTTGATTTAATTTCAGACAGTGCAGAAAAAACTAAATGTGTCACTTTATACATTGTTAATCTGGTTTCAACTACATATGTTGATGGATTTAGTTGTAAATCCTCACCAGATTAAACTTATTCTGTTTCAAAGAAATTAAATATTTGTATTTAAGCAACAAGCTGCATGAACAAATGTAAAACTTTTAATTCCTTACTTTTTAAATTCTTTAATTTAACAGCATAAACTGTTGTTTCAGTTTATGCTGAAACAACAGCATAAACTCAAGAACCAGAGCAGGTTGATAAAATCTGAGGTTAACTCAGATCATTTTTCACCTCAAACCCAGGAGAAACCATCTCCTCCATGCTAAAACATATTTTTCCACCTGTCTGAAAGCGCTCCCTGCATATTTATATCTATACTTTGATAGGAGGATAGTGTTATGTTCACTAGCTGAGGGTGTGAGGGACCAGAAAGTTCAAGGTCTGCGTGTTTCGGAGAGGACTTGTCCCTGTGTTGGGAACCTTTAGTCTGGCCTGGGCGGCGTCCCTCTCGTCTCGCTGGCTGTCGGCCTGCCTCCGTTTCTCCTGCAGGTCAGCGCTCAGGGCAGCGCAGCGGGACCTTAATCCCTCTTTCTCTTCCTCCAGAGCGCGCACCACCCGCTGCTCCTCCTCTTCCTTTTTTCTCTGCTGCGTCCTCATTTCCTACATAAAAACACCAACATGTGTGTGTGTGCAGGTCAAAGCAGCCAAAAAAAAAAAAAACAGTGACAAAAGCAGGAAAAGAAAAAAACACAGAAAAAGTAGCGGTTGAAGCAGAGAGAAGAAGCCCTGCAGAGGGAGAAAAGGAGCAGCGGCCCATGGGGTTGAGTCTGAAATGAATACATAAACAGCAGAGGCTTTGCTGCAGGAGGCCCCTGCATGGGCTGCTGATTAGTCAAGGTCATCTGCGCGGTACGACTGGACCCTCGTGACCAGGTGTTGGTTGGTATGGGCCGAGACGTGCTGCAGGAGCTCAGCTCATGCGGGTACAAGGGCCAGTCTGTCAGCTTTAATGACAGCTTATAATGAGAACGGTGTTTGCAACAAAACCCATTAGACTCAGCCCAGGTATCCTTTGATGATGTCCCCCACTATATCTCGCCAGGAGACCCCACCAAGACCATGTGAGGACCGCTTCGCTATTAATTAATCATAACCGTGTCCCACAGAAGCATAATTAGGGAGAAGCCACATCGTGGCATGCATGCTTTTCAATTTCCCCAACTGAAGGAAGCATCAAATATTTATATCCGAGTAAAAACCCGGCTTTTCTTTGGTTACTTTATTCGATCACAGTCAGACTTTGAGCTGTTAAGTATTCTGTGTTTTCAGGCTGTGAGACAATCCTTGCTGTCCTCTAAATGATTCAGAGGCCCGGGCGCTTCGTGCTGCATTCAAGTGACACTCCGAACAGAGACTTTGGTCCTGGGGGCCCGCGCTGCCACAGGAAATCTGTTTTACTCACCTCAACTTGGCGATTCTTGTTGTCCAACTCGGCACGCAGCGTTGTCATCTCCTTCGTTAAAGCGCCATCCTGCTCGTCCGGCGCCGTCTTCTTCTGCAGCAGCCTCTTAATCTCCTGCTGCTGCCCTGCCACTTTCTGCAGCAAACGGAGGAAAAGAAAAACAGCAGAATGCAAAACTGTGAAACAGAGGACAAAAAGATACAGCAGAGGAGGCAACTGAGTCAATAAGAAAATGAAACAATCAGCAGAAAACCGGTTTATCACACACAAACATTCGTAATTTGATCAGTAATTGTAGCCAAAATAATGTCACAACTCTATATGTTGTCTTCTGTGAACAACAAATCTGGAATAAACTTCCAAAAAACTGCCAAATTTAATTTAAATGCAGAGTAAAAGCCTAGGGTTGCCTTTGAACCATCATAACTGGAACACCGACCAACATATTTGATGTGCATTACTGACATGATGATGTTTATTATCCAACTTGTGACTCTGATGTTTTTGTGATGGTTTTTTTTGCGCGTTTAAGATGTAAAATTTATTTATTTTTTGACCTGTAACAAATTACAAAACAATCAAGTTATTTTACATTTTGACATCATCGAAATCCTCAATACCCATCATTACAAATATTGATCAATATTCCAGTTATTATTAATCAAAGCCAGCTGAGTTCCTCGTTTTAAAGGAACTGTGTGTTTCAGCTGTTTTGCAGATCTCCAAAAGTTTGTTCCAGATCTGTGGTGCACAGAAGCTGAATGCTGCTTCTCCATGCTTGGTTCTGGTTCTGGGAATGCAGAGCAGAACCAGAACCAGAACCCACCTCTGAGGTCTGGAAGCTTTAAACTGTTCAGTGATTTATAAACTAGCAGCAGTATTTTAAAGTCCATCCTCTGAGCGACAGGGAGCCAGTAGAAGGACTGTAGAACTGGGTGAAGTGCTTTATCTTGGTTTTGGTCAGAACGCCAGCAGCAGCGTTCTGGGGCTGTGCAGTAATAAATGCGACTAAAGATAAATGCATGGATGAATTGCTGTAAATCTTCCTGCGACATTAATCCTCTGATCCTGGAAATGTTCATCGGGTGAGTCTGAAAGAAAACTCCTTCACTTTCTCTTGATTTTTTTTTAAGCTTGGACATATGTTAAAGTACTTCACAAAGATTAAGAGACTCTGGTTTAAAGCAGTTGGGAAGTTACATGCAGCAAAAAGCAACACTATTCCATACAGTTAGCACCTTAAACTTCATCATTTATTCTTCTTATTCAACTTTATTCAAAATACCAATTAAAAAGGCACAAGTAAGATGATTTTAATGTGCCTCATATTACTTCAGCAACAGTAAGATTACTTTTTCTTTTCTGTTTAAATAAAAACAATTAGAAGAAGTTAGATGATACAATACTGCTGTATGGTGAAGATGTGGCATTTTAATTTAAGGTGATCAAACTTTGAGAGTCTCATATCAGCTGTTAGTGAAATTAAAAGTTCAACGAAACAAAGAAAAACTAGCATTGGCTCATAAACTGAAGCATAGATAAGTAAATCTGAGTCGTACAACATTCTCACATCTTTTCCTCTTTTATTCAGATTGACTCATGATGCAATAATCAGCCACCGATTAAAACACTCAAATTTATCCTCAACCCACTCTGACCACTGGTTGTCAAGTCAAATACTAAAAAACAAAAATGATCATTTAATTAATCGAGGCTGAAGCTCCCAGACACAAGCAGCCTGATGTACTTTTAAGTAGAAATGGAGATAATCTCATACATTCTAATTCCATCAAGAAACCGGCAGCAGATTTCTTTTATGGTTTGTGTTTCTACATTTAATTAATGGATAAAAACTAAAAATACAAATTAGTTTGTGTAAGACATCGATTAATCAAGTTCAAGATCTAAGGGTGTTCACAAATGCACGCCTTAGGTTTTCATAGTCATGTGTTTGTACATGTGTGTGTGTGTGTGTGTGTGTGTGTGTGTGTGTGTGTGTGTGTGTGTGTGTGTGTGTGTGTGTGTGTGTGTGTGTGTGTGTGTGTGTGTGTGTGTGTGTGTGTGTGTGTGTGTGTGTGTGTGCTTGTGAGTAATAGGGCTGAAGAAAATCTAAATTGGCCGGTCAGAATCAATATTGGCGCCTAAAAACCGGATCAGTGCAGCTCTACAGCTAACTCTCTCACTCATGTGTGCGACATTGCGCTAACAGAGCTAAACAGAACCGTTTAATTCGCAAAGCTGAAGAGGCGGTTATAAAACAAGAAGAAAATCAGAGACGGCTTAATAATGCTATATGTTCCATTGACATTATTTTGGGAGGAGGATGGCGTCCTAACTGCATCCTCTGAAGTTCGGCGTCGGGTGGTAATCCGTGGCTTTCTGTGGGTACATCTTCTCAAATAACACGGGGCTCTGGGATGCAATTAATTGCCATCTTGAGGGAAACTGCGTCCGCATATCAAGAAAGCAGATTTAGAGTTCCCTACTACTTCTAGCTTGCAGAGAGAGGGCTTTAATAGAGATTTATACTGTAGAGCAGGATATAAATTCAAATGCTGATAATGAAATTGGAGAGAACAATTTCAACCTTAGCGGAGCTTAGTTAGGTGAAAAAAAAACGGGTACCAAAGTCTAAATATCTAGGAGAGAAAGATTAGCGTTGGAAATTTCCCAATGAAGAATGAAAATCTAAACGAATTATGTCACAATTCAAGATCCCATGTGGATCCAGTGGACCATCATGTCTCCATAGAGGAGGGAAAGAAATCTGTGATGGATGATGAATGTCAGAGAACCAAGAGACATAAATCTCAAAAGTTGCTTTAAACTAAAAGTTTTCCATAAAGTCTCAGCGCCTGCTCCCATGAGCCACTGTTATGGCTGTGAAAGAGAATAATGTCAAAAAGCACAGGCAGGCTGATGACTCCATTACAGCCCATCTCATTAAGAATGAATGGCGTTCCTCCATGAAGGACGCTAATGAAAGAGACACACAGCGGCCTCAGTGAAGGAATGACGTTAGAGCAGAATACACAACTGTCCTTATCACTGGAAATTATTAGCTGATTGGAAAAAGACAGCAGGCAGACAAACAGCTGGGGAGACGCAACAAAACATCTGTGAAGTCCGATTTCCAATCTCAATGAAAAGACTAAGACAAGATGCAACAACAAAAAAAAACTGAGTGCACAAAATTTTGTTTATATAAAATTCCAAAAACGAATTAATCTTTATCATTTTTCCCTGCTGAACTGTAAATTAAACACACAATACTCTAATGAAACAATTAAATTAGTCTGATTTAAGTAAAAATAAAGGATATAGACAGATGCCAAACAAAACAGAGCAGCATGAGATTTCTTAATTTCTTTAGACTGATTATCTTTTTGTGTATACTTTCATCAACAAGAACCAGAAATAAGTCACACTTGTTTTATTTATTTACTGAAGTCTGCTTTTCAGTAAACATCACCTGATGTTTGCCGTTCTATTTACTACCAAATTAAATTATAATAATTATGAAAAAGAAGCACGGTTGATTTGTATTAGCATGATTTTTTAAAAAGCCTTGATTCAGTGAAAATTGTAGCCAAACATTTCAACTTCAGAAAGTGAGAAAAAAAGGAGCCTTTTTATGTGATTTGTTATGTAAACTTCTGTTTTCGTGTGGCTGGTCATTTGCTCAGCATAAGAAATGACGCCGCAGGTCATGAAACCAGGTACTGGTTTCATGATCCAGTACCTGTTCTAGGTCCTGGATCATGAAGTCTTTGGACTGCAGGATCTCCAGCACTTTTCTGTCCTTCATCTCAGTTTTCTGCTTCTCACTGTGAAAGAAAGTCAAGACAAAAACAACATCTTAAGATTGTTTAAAACAAAAACTACTATCAAATACTTGTATTAGTTCTCGTCACTGTGAGACTTTGGAGTTGCTCAAAACTTTGTGAATTTCGATGATCCAAATATCACCTTTTTAGTGAGTTTTGAATGAACCAAAAGAAGAAAAATCTTCAGTTTGGGACCAGTTTGTTTCAACTGCTTTGGACCAATGGGAACAAACCCGTTCATTCCCAGATCCGTTGTTCCTCCTGCACCTCCATCTCCAAGGCCTTTTCTTGTGATCAGCTTTCTCCGTTTGTCGGCGATGGAACAACAGTTTTTTTGTCCCGGCAGGGGCCCGAGCACAGGCAGGCCTAGCTGCGCTTCCTCATACACGGGGCTGTGTTCGCCATGTCCTGAGCAACCAACCAATCACTCTACACGATCCGCACAGTAAGAGGAAGGAGGGATGAATGGCAGCTCCCACTGGGCAAGGGCGCTTGACTGGAGTCGACACAATTACCATGTCAATATCCTCCCGCGCATTAGATTATACAATACACATACGATCTCTAGGTGCATGTTCCCCCGGCAGTCTTGGAGGACCGGCGCACTTTGATGGGTTTCCTGTGGGGCAACGGGAAACTGGAGAGGGTGTGGAGTAGAAAATGAGAGGCAGAGGAATGAGAGGAACTCTGTGCATGCTGCTGCTACACTGGGGAGGCCCAACTCTGGCCTCAGAGCTGCAGTCCTGCATCCCGTCTCCATCACACCGCAGTCAAACGGCTGAAGTTCATTCAGTCCTGCAGAGGCCAGGTAACCACACATTCTGATTTAGGTGTGTTGGAGAAAGGATCTAAGGGTGTTTTTACACCCAAAAGTTCGGTAACATCTGTTACATTTTCAGCTGCTGTGGTTCTCCTTCACATCACAGTATATTAAACGAACCAAACGCAGTCAGTTTCCTGCTTTGGGAACGGTCTCCGGTGCACTTGGTGTTCACATAAGCATTGAAATTGCTTCAGAGTTCGGGTCAAGCGAACCCAGACTGAGGTTTTGAGTCAGCCAGCATTCATTGCTCATGTCCCCAAACGAAGCTGAGTTTCCAGTCACACAAACAGGAGTTTGATTAAAGAGGACAACGCTTTGGATGATATAAATAACAGAAACATTTGATCTTACTTTTCGACGGTTAAAATATGTTTGGATTGAATTGAATCAGTGGCAGTCCAACACAATGAACAGGGATGTGCATTTTTAGAGTAAAAACAGTAACACTCAAAACACTGGTTAATTGCCAGATTCATCAGCTTGTTGCTTTTCAAAAAGTTGTAAAAAATGTCTGCATTTATTTAATTTAAATGTGTATTTCCATAGATTTATGTAAATACTCAAGTAAAAACCTTTATCAGATTTTTTTACTTCTCAACAATTTTGAAAGTCTTACTAAATTTCTCTTCCAATTCATGTTGGTTCATATGAAGTGTAACATGACAAAATGTGAATAAGTTCCCTGGGAGTGAACGCAGCTGCATGGCACTGCTTTATTTGTCCAAATATGCCTGATGAGGATAAAGGAAGCCCCTCTGCGCTCGCCGACAGTTCCCATGCCACAGTTTTTTATCTGGCTTAGCCATCCTGCAAAAGAGGCCTTACTCCATCTTACGATTTATCCGGTAAAGACGAGCATTTGGCAGGAATGCTTCAACTGTCCAGCATGAGAGCAGCGGAGGAGAAGCGTTTTCATTAAAGAGGTTTCCGTTGTTTGAACTGGGAGAGCGGGGATAAGAGGGCTTAAACCAGCATCTGCACCTGATTCCGTCATAACCCATGTAGGTGCTTTAAACGGAAGAAAAAAAACTTTCACACACGTTTTTCGTTGCTTGTGAGATGGAGCAGCGTTGAGCTGTGAAAGATGAAGCCACTCACCGCTCCACCACCAAACTCACGGCCTGGGTCAAGTCCGGATTTGCCACTTGCAGCCGTTTCCACAGAGACCACACAAACTCCTTGTCTGCCTGCAAAACAATCAAATAATTCAAGTGTTTATGTTTTTATTGAGAGATATATCATTATTTGGGTGGCAACTAATGATTATTTTAGTAATCCACTATTCTGTAAATTGATCAGATAAAAAAAAGATGAAGATAAAAGTTGGAGCCAAAATAATAATTAAATTCCATTTTTAAATCAGAAAATAAACATTTTGTTGCCTAAAATGTAACAACACCATTCTTTTAGTGGACACTTTGTAGCAAATAATCTGCAGCTAAAAAATACTTGTAACATCAACAGTTCAGTCTTTTCTGTTTGCCTTGGCATCAAAACAGAGTCGGGCTGATTTGGTGGTTATTTTTTAAATCAATTCATTGATAATTGGATCGCGAATTATATTTTGTGACATAATTGTGATTATGATAAATATCATGTTAAAAAAGCTACTCTTTACTTATTTTCAGATAACTATATTGCTGTGACTGCATTGCACAGAATTAATAATGCCACAAACACAAACATCATTATTAAGAGTGTGACTTGTATGACCAAACTCCAAACATAATCATATTTTTAAATTTATTGATGTTCCTGTGGAACAAACAGTGGGGACAAATAGCAAAAATAACATTTCTGTTCATACTGTCAGTTTGGAAATCTGAAATCTATAATAAATCAAAATTCTCACCACAACAGAACTTTTTTTTTTTTTTTTTTACAATAAATGATAATCGATGCGATAAATACCCCACCCCAATTACGGTACATTAAATGACGACTTTAATCAGCCTGTCAAAGAAAAACCAGCAGCACATCAGAGCTCTTCTGGCTGGGAAAAAAAATAAAAGATAAAAGATTAACCAGGACGCTCATTGGCATTAGCATATGACAGCAGGGAAGTCGATCAATTATTTAAACAACTTGTACAAAACAGTTTCTCATCCGGCCTGCCCGCTCTAATCATGCGCCTCTCTTTGCAGCGGTCTCCATCGCTGAGATGTGACCTTCGACTCGCGGGGAGCGACTTGACACTTGTCATTATGAACTATTTATGACTGCTGGGGATCCGAATCAAAACGAGGCGGCCCGCCTCGTGTTTTCTACCAAACTCAGAGCTGATGTCAGGGAGAAAAGTCATGAAACACATCTCCAATTCAGACTGTCGTCCCGGTTTCTCCAAACATTTTTCAGGCAACGCTACGTCTAATGAGCGACATCTAAAAAGTACGTTAGGCATTAAAAGACAGAATTATACCAAATCGACTTGATATAAAAATCATGTGATAAATTATGTTCACATCATCAGAAGATAAAAGCCATCCCTCCCACTGGACTCTACTGGTCTCCAATTAGTACATGAATTTTAAGCCCCTTCTCAAAAAGTGTCTAATCAATTATTTAGTAAAATGGCAGCGTCAGACCTTGATAAGGCCATGAGCTGAACACATAAAGAGGAAGGACTGTGATGTAGATCTCTGAGTCTGTATGTATCCGCGATGTGGGGGTGTAGAGGGAAGGGTTCTCACTAAATCAACACTGGAACGCAGCTAATGATTAAATTAGGCGGCCTGGTTTACTCCGCCTGCCTGGCCTTTGGCTGCCATTAACCGTTCCGCTGACAAGTGTTCAGCGAGGACCCTCATCAAGCGCCCTCCTCTGCCGTACGCGCGCTTAAAGATACATTCAATGAGTGTTTGATGATGGCATGAATTATTCATCCTGAATCTGGAATCCTGGAACACCATGGGCTAAACATACCAGAGAGAGCCACTGCGATTCAGCGCGTATTAGGAAAATTAGCTGGCTCTAGCCAGAACGTTTGCCGGCTGACAGACGAGACTCTTTGTAGTTAATGGCCGTCCTGAACCGCGTCATGCCCGAGACTTAACACATCAGTGGTATTCAAATGTCACTATTTAAAAATGTACACGGCACATCTTAGGGCCGTTATTAGATAAACAGAATCGCTGATGGTCTGCTCTGTCTGGAAGAGACCACCAACCATGGAGGGTCTCCATGCCAGTTAAACGAAAGGCTGCAGCACTGAGGTCAACAAAGTTCAGCTCAGATGAATGAACAGCATCACAGTTCAGACAGGTGAAAGAGAAAGGATCTTCTCTTTCACCTGGTTTCTGTGCACCAATCAGAAGCAGGTCACTATAGTTTACTAAAACTAACAAAATAACAAAAACTGAAATTAAAATGAACTGAAAATAAATAAAAACTGTAAGTAATAGGAAAAAACTATCATTACCAGAAACTATGTCCTTTGTTTTTGAGTTTATGAATGTATTTATTAGCCTTTATGTCAGATCTCTGCAAATCGTTCCAGGGCGATGATTTGGGCCTAGACAGCGAGTAATTTGTCTGGAACCTGGTCAAAACCAGCAAGAAAATAATTTCAAGCAGCAAATAAGTAAAATAACAACAACAACAACAAAAAAAACAAATGACAGAGCTGCAACGGCCCAATCAAAGTCCAGGCCTTAATCTGTCTGAATTAGTGTAAATCAAAGGAATCTCAGAGACTCAAAGAACCAAAGTTCCTTCTTTGGTTCAGAAGGATCATAATAAGAAACATCCTGATGAAGGCTGAGGTTGTTTTCTGCTCTGTTTGGTTTGGGCTGGATTATCCGTATCTCTTCTATAACCTGGTTTCTTTGACATAAAGGTGAAACTGAATGAAGTAGTGCGTTTTCAGCTAGGCATTTTGTATATTTACTTTTCTCATCATGTTTGTGTTTATATTTAATGTAGACCTATGTTATTAAAAATTCTCACAAGAGACACTTTGCATGTGAACAAGAAGTGCAGACGCAGCAAAACCTGTGTTTTGCGCAGGTTTTAATAGTGATGTATCAATCGATCTACAAGTGTTCAACATCTACAGATCTTCCCTACATCAGCTCTGCCCTGTAATGAACTGGTGAAACACCAAAAAAAATCTGAATTTTTTTATGTTGTGATCACTGAATCCTTAAAAACAGAAAAGTCCCACGTTTTTCAGTTTGTAAACACATCAATAAACAGCATGTTTTCTGATTCACTGCATTTTCAGCTCAGCATGAAGCAGGTAAAGGTCTCTGTTGAATTCAAATTTGCTAAATTTACCAAAGAACCTGATATTTTCCTCTATATAAAGTACAGGAAGGGAAAAACTGTAGAAATCAGCAAACTAAAACCACAAAACACAATGTAACGTGTGTTTTTAAGTTAGAATGGCTTACATTAGACAATTACTTTCTAAAATATATCTAAATTCTCAGTTTTATGAATAATAAAATATTCAAAGACTTGTAAATAAAGTTGTTAAAGCTGAAAAAAAGGTCAGAATATTTCTCCTGCTCAATTTATTTTATATAAAAAACATAAATATATTACTTAAGTATTTTCCTTAAAGCAGCAAGAAGTCTAAGTATTTAAAGTTGTTCTACATAAACTTGTAATGGGATAAATCTACATGTATTGCAGCACTGATATCCTCACTAAAGTAAAGAATATTTGTCTTTAAAGCATCTGACTCTGCATTGATTCACTTATGAAAAATCTGACTTGGTCCAGTGAATTACAGAAGGAATCTGCAAGATTCTTGAAATTAAGGACAGAGATTAAAATGTGTGTTTCTGTAATTCATCAGCTGGCCTCGTGAGGAGGCCAGCTGATGTCCCAGTCTGTCTACCTGTAGAAGAAGACATGCTGGGTCACTTCACTCCTGTTATTAGACACCACCTGGTGGTGAGCATGCAGGGAATCCTTAAATCACCGCCTCACAAAGTGAAAACAAAAGTTTCACTGCTCTAGATGTTTTTACAGAAATATCTAGAGCATGAGTCTGCAAACTGTGGTTCTTTAATAATTTGGCAAGAAGTCCAGAACCATTTTTTTTCATGTAGACAAACAATAAAATGCAGATTTTAGCTGCTTTTAATAGTTTTTACCCCACTGAATAAATCCTGTCCTAAAATCTCTAGAAAAGAATGATGAAAGTATTACTAATATTTGTTATTGTTTTCTAATCACTACACTTTTATTTTGTTTAAATCATTTTCCACAAATATCAGCATCCCAGAGAAGAAAATGCATCAATCCTCTTTTGTAAATGTTAAATGTACTTTAAGACCTAAAACAGAAATAAAATTATAGTTCTTTAAAAAATACCCCTATATTTTCTACAGTTTAAGTTGTTTTTTCATGAAACATTATTAACATTTGTGGCTCTAAATGAGATCTTTACTTTGAAGACGCTTGATCTAGGTTTTGGAGAATATTTGGTATTTCTATTGAGCCCATTGTGTTGATGGTATTTGCACAATTTTGGACTAAACAAAAAAAAATCTTTCTGTACTACTCTATGTGATCTTTAGTCTTTTGAGCGCTTTTAATTGTATCGGATGTGCCGTCAAACTAAGGTTCAATATATTGTGTAAAGCTGGCATGTAAAGTGTTCATTTAAATATTTTAATGGGGAATTTGTCATGTTTATATACATAAACCATAATGTCAGTTATGTTATTTCAGGTTTCTTCCTGTTAACGGGGAGTTTTTCCTCTCCACTGTCACTCCATGCATGCTGCAGGGATTGCTGCAGCTAATTACTGAATGCAATTAGTTGGGTTTCCTTAGAGATAGAAGGAAAAACTTTAAACTCATTTCAGTAATGAATTAAACTTCATGCAATGACATTTCATTCATTTGTTAATTGGTGCTTTATATTTGAATTGAGTAGTTTAATTTTCTCCAAGTATAAAAACTTTGGAAACATTTCTAATAACCGCGGAAATGAGTTTAATAAAAATAGAAAAGAAACCAAAATTATGTATTTTTCCTTCTTGACAGCAGACAGTACATTAGATTTGTATGTATGTGTATGTATACATACCTGACACTGAATTAACTCCTCTGATAAGTTCTTCACCTCCTCCTCCAGAAGCAGGACGCGACTGCTCTCGTGTGAGCACATTTTGGACCCAACAGCGGAAGAAAATAAAAAATAAGCAACTAGAAAACCCTCCTTGTCATCCTCCAACGCTCCGTTGGCTAACTCTGCTAACGTTAGCCTGCTAACGGTCCTATTTACAGTTTAACAGCGTGACGTCATCGCAACGGACAGCCTTAAAACAATGCTAAAATGCCCCTTATATTTATCCTCTATCCGCTCTCAATCTCTCCTCTGTCTTTAAAGGCGAATGAAACTTTCCTGGACGGCCCCTGGCAGTAACCACAGCGACGAGTTCTTCCGTTCAAACCGGCCCGCTGTTTTCCGTTTCCGTTTCACTGTTCAACGGCGCACGCTCCATTCACACGCCGGCGCGGCTAAAGGCGCACCGGGCAGGTGGAGTTTGTATAGTTTATGGAAGGTTAGCTTGCTACTTTGACAAATTATGGCTGTTGCGAAGTCAGAATTGAAGTTTAGTAAATGTTATTGGTATTTCACGCTGTATAATACCCCTTAGGTGGTTTTGTTTTTGTATTTATGCTGACACTCTGAAAAATCTTGCCAGAGATGTTGTCATAACAGAACAACAGAGGTGATGTTAGGATCTTGAAACAGTGGGGCATAATGAATATAAATCACAATCAGCCTTTTCACCAAGCCTTAACGTTTGTACACACAAACAAGGAATTTGAGGTAAGTTTTGTAAAAACAAATACACAATAATAAATTCTGCAGAGATTTGTTAATGTGAATAAATTCTAAGGCTGAGTGACTTACACTTTCTGTTTTCAGTGGAGCTTTTATAGCTATATAAAAATATCCCACAGTTTCTGTCCCATATTCTTTTAAACTTGGGGAGACAATAAATACAATCAAAACGTTATTTAAGGGAGTAATGTAACATAAATTTCCACATGAAATGTCACCTATAAAAAATTACAAATAAAACCCAGGATAAAACCTCCTGCTCTACATTTAGAGACTTCACACATCAGAGGAATAACAGCAAGAAAAGATATGATGCTGATTTTTATCCAAACACATTTATTTATTTAGTCTTAACCGCACTTACACCTTACACTGGTATGTTTTGGGCTATACATTTGTTTTCTTCTGAAGAGCAACAGAGGCCGTTTGACGTCTTTAGTTTGGTGGTGTGTCAAGACAACAATGCTACGTTGTGCAGTTAATGCATTTAACTGTCAGTCCAGATTTGGAGCACCGGGCTGGAGAGGAAAATGAAGAAATATGATGACTGCCGCTGCTTCTGAGTCTGACAAATGTTGGTTCGGCCTCGCTGCTGCACAAACACACACACACGGACGAAAAGAGACTAAATCCAATTGACTTAGCATGATTAGGCTGCCTTTCATTAGGATCCTCATTTGCAGGGCCAATTTCAGAGGCAGTAGACCGGCACATAATGCACAACATCTGCCTTCCCCTTGTTCCTTGTTCAGATACATAAACGCATGGAAGCTAAGAATGAGTCTCTGTCACCCAGTCCCAGGATATACAAACTATTCTTTACTAAATTTATTTCTAAAATGGAGCAACAATTAATTTTTTTCCCTCCAAATATTGGAGTTTATTCACTCAATTTATAAAATGAACAAACAGTGAAAGTGAGCAAGAAGAACAAATTATATACAAATCCTTTCACAGAAATTACAAAATACATTTTAATATTAATATACATTAAAATAAAATATAAGTTCCAAGCAAAGTGTAATTCTCCTCATTGACTCAGAAGTACATAAGGCTGTGATTTAAAAAATATTCTAACATGTTTTGAATTGATTTACAGTCGAGCATTTTTCAACTCTTCACTCAAACTGCTCCTTAATTTCACTGCAAAATGTACATTTGTATTAAAGTAGTACGCAAAGTTTTACTTTTGAAATCTTACTTCCTGCTGTCATTTCTGTCACTTCCCTTAAGAAAAAGAACTTCTGTAACTTAACTGATACGATTTATACATTAACAAAATTCCTTAGTTTCAAGATATTTGATTGCATAAACAATTTATTAACTATCGTCTAGTATTTAATTTATATTAAATTCAGTTTTTTTCTGTTCTTTTTCTGTTTTTTATGCCACAAACAAAGGCTTAGTGTTGGTATTATATGTATAAAATAAGACATTTATCAGACTGTAGAATTTAGAGGAAATTCACTTCTTTTTTATGAGAAAGAAGTTGTAATTTAATTAGAAATAGAACTTGTTACATTTCTTTTCAAGTGCATTTAGACTTGTGTTGCACTCAAATACATTGTATTATAGGTATTTTATGAATCTTTTTCATATATTATGCAAAAATAACAGGATGTAATGATGGTAAAGAAAACATAAGCTTTTCCTTCATCTTCTGATCACAAATTAGTACAGTTCACATTTACACTTCAATGCAAATTCAAATTAAAAAGTTGCTCTGAATGCGACTCCTCCCTAATTCAGTCATCATGTTACCTTGTTCACAAAGAACTGCATCTGGTGGGCGTGTTTCATTAAAAAACCCTAAACTAACTGAACCTTTCGAGGATGTAACAGGGAGAGAAACGACACAAAAACACAGCAGGACCAATCAAAGCAACTCCAAATGTGCTTCTTATTAACACAAAAGTGTGATTGAAACAGTAAAGTGCAGCTGGAACTAAAATCACTAAAATTCCTCCCTTGAGAAAGCTGGCAGCATAAAGTGATCCCGCCCTGACTATCCCCACTTTCAACATCCAATCTGTGTAATCTGACCACTTAGACACTTACAGCTACTGCAGCAGACATGCTCCGCCATGTTTTGACAGCACATTTTGCTCTCCTCTCTGTCTGAAGCAGCATTACCTCCCTATGTCAGGTGTTTGTTGTCTGTCCCACTAATGACAGATTAATCCACGTATAAGCTCGTTTGAAACCCACATAAATGTCAGGTCTCAGCCCAGGAGTCTTTCACGCCATCCCAGTGCTTCCTGTATGAACCATTAAAAAGATACTTTTCACACATGGATTTCAGCTCTAATGTTACTTAATTCAGCTTTTTGTTTTCACCCGAAAGGCTTTCTTAAAAAACTGTTTTTAAAGTTCTATCAGAAAATCTCGTCTTGATTTATAGTGTGTTCATTTTATTTTGGGGAAAAAGCAAAGTTTCAATGTATTCACATCTTGAAAGTGTCATCACTGACACCCAGACTTCTACGACTAGGAAATTAAAAGCCTTTATGAATATGGAGGAGCAAAAGGGATAAAATTAAACAAATAAGGATGGATGGATGGATGGATGGATGGATGGATGGATGGATGGATGGATGGATGGATGGATGGATGGATGGATGGATGGATGGATGGATGGATGGATGGATGGATGGATGGATGGATGGATGGATGGATGGAAATATTTGAATTCTTCAGATTGAATCTTTTAAAAGTATTTTCATACATATTTACAATTTTAATAAATATCACCTAAAAACTTCAAATTATTTGCTGCACAGATTCAAACGTTTCCAAACTGTTTAATTTCACCTCAGTTGCCAATCAAAATGTCTGATATTTGTGAAATGTGGGAACAGAATAGATGGATGGAAGTTATGGTAACTTAATTTCTTTATTAGGATGAAATGTTGGGTTCTATTCTGTTTTTCTGCTTACATAACATCACTTATTCACTGAAATGAGCCTCAGAGCCACAGAACAGAGCAGATGTAAACTGGCCTCCTGCATCCGCAAAGAGCCTTGAAACAAGATGGCTGCTGCAGAGACGGTCCCAATAAGCAAGCTCCTCTCACTCCTGTTCTGCCTCGCTGAAGTTCAAGCGCTCTGCAGCATCTAATCTACCAGGGGAAGGAGTGACACAGGATTGTGATCATGCAAATTCACCTTCATGAAAAATTCAGGAACCAAATGACAAGCCTTGGTGTGTCAACACTGACAGAGGAAGGCAGAGAGGGGAGAAAAACATGACACTCCGCAGAGAATTGGGAAAGCGGCGTCTCCGCCCGCTGCCTCAGGTAAGCGGGGGTATTATCCGCAGCTCTGATGCACCTGGAAAACGTAGCAGACGACAGTAGCTGCTGAAGAGTCCCCAGTTTTAAAGGAACACTGATTGTACAAATGCCAGCTGGGATGTAAAAGCTGCGCAGCGTTTAGCAGAACAAGCATCCTCCTACATGGGAACGAGGCAGGCTCCAACATGCCAGCGTTTTACGGCGAGGCTTTGAGGGAGTCACTTTGTAGCGTGGCTGACGGCTCTATTTATCAAGCTGTGGAGTGGGATTAGAATATAACGAGATGTTGTCACATTAACTGCTTTTCCATTGCAAATATGCCCAAAACTCTGGTTGAAAAAGACAACATCGCATTTAATATGTTTCCATGAAATCAGAACGGCATTTAAAATCACTAGTGTATGAGTTTGTTCACTCAATAAATTGTTAAACATCCCCCCATGCCATCATCCTCCAAATACTTCCTGCTATCTTCTTCTTTGTCGTTTCCACCAGTAGTAACATCCAGTTCCATCCATCCATGTTCTTCTGCTCATCCAGTGGTAGCAGCTTCAGAAGGGAGGCCCAGATTTCTGTCTCCAGCCTCTTGCTGCAGCTCTTCTGGGAAGCGCCGCGGCGTTCCGAGGCCAGCCGAGAAACATGGTCCCTCCAGCAGGTCCTGGTTCCTCTCCGGGGCCAACATCCAGCTGTTGATCACTAATGGCTGAGATTTCATTACAAAGATGGCCAAAAATATATTTCTTCCATCAAAAAAAATTCTTTTTAAGTTGGTGTGTTCCCATGTCGCAAACGTATTTTGGAAATTTCAAATTGAGCAGCTACATATGATGACATATTAAGGCCATTGTAGACAGAAAACAATAGTAAATTTCCACCAAAAAAACCCCAGGCATTTTGAGATTAATTGATTTATTTGTACTGAAAAGTCTTGGAAATGTCAAAGAAACCGAAAACTTTTACACTATTGAAACTCAGAATATTTCCAAAATTTAAAAAAACTGTGAAAATTTCCAAGTTTTTTCTAGAAAGATTGATCAATTAATCTAAAAATTTCTGGCTTTTTTCTTGCAAGTTTTCTTCTTTTCTTGCAGTTTTGAATCTCAGAAATATCCACGTTTTTTTTTTTTAGAACTTTTTAAGATTAATCTAAAAATTTCTGAGCTTTTTGGCAGATATCAAATCCTGTTTTTCTGTGTACAACGGCTCTGATGCGGTCAATGGAAGCGCAGCCACTGCGTGTCTTTTGAAACTGACGTTACCTCAGCAAAAGGGCACTCTGAATTTGTGCTGAAGTGATGAACCGTGTCTGTACAGATTTCCATTGGGTTG